AAAGTCTCAGAAGTATGGCAACATATCCATCTCAGAAATAAAATGGACCAAGTTATGAGACATTTTTCAGGCCTCATGAGAAAGGCTTAAAAAAATCCAAGAGACCTTGAGCTCCAGATTCCTAAGAGTTGGCACAGTCAAACACATAAAACAAACAATAGAGAATGACTACATTTCTGTGAACAAGACAATGAGTTTGAAATTTATGAACTAATATTTCTTTTCCTTATGGCAAAATCCACATTCCCCTTTCCTCCACTGTTTGTCAAACAGCTTTCCCACTCTTTCTGCCAACTAGACACACCACAATAAACAGTATTTTTTATATACAAATTGCTTTATATTTCTCAATAAATCATCTTTGCAGAGCAATGGAGCTAAAGGCTAAAATGAAATACACTGCTTCCAGAAAACTGATTAACAAAAACAGTAGTATATTGATAAGTTCAATATAAATACATCAAGAATTTGTGTGACTGCTTATTCTCAGGCTAAAGATGCAGAATGATAATAAAGTTCCCAATCTAAATTTTCCACAGTATGAAGTATGTGTTCCACTTCAGGACTCCATGCAGTGTTACCACATTGGTAACACTGTCCATGCAGTGTTACCACATTGGTATCACTGCAAATTAGAAAAGCTAGCCCGTTAGACATTATACCAACAGCTACCTTTCAGCTGAAGAATCCACAGAAACTTGCTGTTAGTCTTTCTTGTCGTTTCTAACTCTATAAACTAGAAATGACTTATTCTAGAACATGTTCAAAATATTGAAGTGCAGCGTCTGTAAAGAAAGAGGCTAAACACACACACACACACACACACACACACACACACACTCACACACTACTTTCACAACTAGTTCCCCTTTATTCACTCAAGCATGGTAATATATTGCTTACAGATACGGGTCTGAGCCATGAAGCCAAACAGCAACTACATCATTTGCAGTGACCATTTTCAGTCACTATAAATTCCATTCTATAAACAATCACTCCCCAGGCTGCTTCCCAGCCTAACCTTGCCCCCAAACACTCCCTGGCTTACTCAAGACCCAGCTGCACTATCAGCAATTATTATTATTCTTCTTTAATTATCCACATAGCGGGAACAGGATGGCTTGCAGTTCCCACACTGAAGAATGAAACCAGACAAATATTAAAAAAAAAAACAAAAAAAAAGGAGGGGGGCACAAACTTTTTTCCACCTTCATTCCTATATAATATAGTGTATTAGATACAATCTTTCATAAGAGTGCCATTGTAGAAAAAGAAAAATACTCTACATCTACCATTTTCTTTCATTATTGAAACACAAATATTTTCCCATGGACTCCTCTCTTATGTCCAGCAGAGGGTAGCGAAAGAACAGCTTTGTAAACTCCAAGAAAGTTCATCCTCAATTGACTATCAAGTAGAAGTATATAACAAAAGATTGTAAGATTGCCTTTGAATTAGACATTCTATTCTTCACACAAATTACCTAAAGTTTGCTGCGATCAACAAGAACTCAAGTTCACATTTTCTAACCAAATGCCCATTAACACAAGGTACTCTGCATGGAAATTGAAATAAGATGTCTCCCGTGTCCATTCTCCACAAAACCAAATTTTGATTTATAAGCTAAAAATTCCACAAAGAGAGATAAAGAAATGTAGGGCTAATTCACAAAAAAAAATGTAGACCATTCTGTCTCAGGCCTACTACTCTAAAGCTCCTGTATCTGAATGGAAATCCATCTTAAAACAGTGACATCATAGGCAAAAATAAGTTTTATTTAACCACAGCTGGAAGTACAGGACTGGAGTTTTAAATTCGCAGCTAGTACACTGCAGTACACATGTAACACCACATGGGAGAAAAACACTTGGCATGTTGGCACACAGTGAAAAGTACGGCCCAGGCTTTAGTGCCCTTCTTTAATGCCCCTTCCACAATGTATTTGGCAACTAAGAATGTTATCCACAGAAGCTAGGACACTAATGAGCCAGCTATTAAAGCAGAGAAAAGGAAATTCTACTAAAATTAATATGTTTAATCCCCCACAATATCCAGGCTTCACAGAAGCACCTCCTTCTACTTGGGAATGCAGAATGTAATAGAATCATAGAATAGTTAAGGTTGAAAAGGACTTTAAGATCACCTAGTTCCAACCCCCCTGCCATGGACAGGGACACCTCATACTAAACAATGTCACCCTAGACTCCATCCAGCCTGGCCTTGAACACTGCCGGGGATGGAGCATTCACAGCTTCTTTGGGCAGCCCATTCCAGTGCCTCACCACCCTCACAGGAAAGAACTTTCCCATATCTAACCTAAACTTCCCCTGTTTTAAGTTTAAACCCATTGCTCTTTATCTTATCACTGCAGTCCCCGACGAAGAGTCCCTCTTCCAGCATCCTTGCAGGCCCCCTTCAGATACTGGAACGCTGCTATGAGGTCTCCATGAAGCCTTCTCTTCTCCAGACTGAACAGCCCCAACTTTCCCAGCCTGTCTTCATATGGAAGGTGATCCAGCCCCCTGATCGTCCTCGTGGCCCTCCTCTAAAAATGTCCTTTTAGAATGGCACAGTCCTTTCTTTCAAACGCAATTAGATGTGAGGATTGTGCTCTTTGCCCCTCCTTTATGCAACGAGTCTGTCCTTGAACACCATTTCATTCCCTTATAGCCTCCAAGACCAAAATTCCAATAACTGAGCTACAGAGGTGAAGAGCAGCTTATCTGGTCCCTTCGGTTGGGGTCTTTCCACTGTGTCTCAGCATGAAGAGCTGCTAATACCCCTGCCTTATTGCGCTCCAGAAGGTTAGAGAGGAAGAAGAATGACAAATTTATAAATCAAAGAAAGGTTGCAATTACATTTCAAATTCTTCTAATAGTAATCTGTTCCTCAGTATACAGTTTTTGGGAGAAAGGATTATGGGTGAGAGAGCAACTAAAAATGGGTTTTACTAACCCGCACTTTGAAATTCAGAATCCTTGCAGCCTTTCATGACCACACAAAATGCATTTGCAAGATGCAAATGATGATGTTGTTACAAATTCTGGAGTTTGAGTCCACTATCTAGTATAAAGACTACAGTAACCAATATTGTCTACAGTATGATCAATATTGAAAGCTTAAAATATCTAGTGCTTTTGCTTCTTAAAGAATAAAGGTATGTTCAGAGATGCTCATTAATCTCTCTTTGACTTCAAGTATAGAATGTTATTGTGGGCCCTTTCAGGCACTAACACACATGCTATTTACTTTTGAGATGGTAAAGTGAGATGCAAGCAGACTAAGATATATGCTTGCAGTCTAACTTAAGACTTTTTTTTTTTAATTCACAGGGACTTGTGTTAATTTGCTTAAAACTTTTGAGGTTTCATCACATACTTTCCTTAACCACTGCTAAAATAGCTATACTTACAACTTCCACAAAACTGATTTTTCTGTAGTCTGAAGGTGTTGTTTTCTTATGACATTATTAAAAGATTCAGTAAGTTAAAAGATTTTAATAAAAATCAAGCAGCAAAAGAAATATCTTAGCTGACTGGTTTATCAGCATTCCCTGATAAAACCATCTCCAGGGCACAGTACTTATACATTTGCAAGGAACTGAGTGCTTGCTTCTCAAATTTAAATAATGAGTACACTGAATCAAAATATTGAGAGAGACAAATAATTTGCTGTCTTGCCTCTCCACATGATTTCTATCATGACATATCAATATATTAATTATTAATATATTTAGTATAGTTAATATATTAATATAATATCAATATATACTAGCTATATTAATATATAGGTAATATATTAATATAGTTAATATATTAATGTATTGTCAACATATTAAAAGCTGTGAAATTACAAAAAAAAACCTCGCTCAAGTACTTGGAAGCAAAAAATCTTTGTTTTTAAAAGGGCTATTGGAACTTCACAGTATGCAGCACTTTCCAACTGACGTTAATTCTGCCTAGCCCAATACGTGCGGCTCACAATATACCTGAAAATAGATTTCCTGTGTATCTCTTTGAGGGCACAAATATCTGCCTTGTTGGTCAATTAGTGAGTGTTTTTTAGTTGATGAGATTTGATCTTCCCTGTAGGAATTTTCTTTTGTACTTCATCTTTAATGCAGGGCTTTACTTAACCTAGCAATCAATGCTTTAAACACTTCTTTTGCCTTTAAGGAAAAAGTAACAGAAAACACTGAAAACTGTATGCTATTTATTCCTTTAAGGGCTCCCAATACCCTGCAAGTTCCAATTCTTTAAAATTCATTGCAGAAAATATTTAAAGATTTTTAAAGAAAACTTACATCAGGATAAATAATCATCCAGTCAGTATGCTTTTCTGCAGTGACAAACATTCTACCAAGAAAGTCTTGGTCCAGACTGTTCATATAGATATCTTATTTACTGCAAAGCCTATCAGTGGACAAACAAAACGCTGAAACTTACAAAAGAACTAGCAGCTTAGTAAAAGGAGCACATTAAAGACTTCAGACTTCTCAGCAACAGGTGTCACTCAACAGACAGGCAAACTAAAATTACCTGTAGCATTTAAGATAGGAAGAGGCTGCCATAACACCACTGTAATCTTCCAGTATGCTATGCCCCCTAACTAGCAGAATATCTGATGAGTTTTTCAGCTCCAGTAGATTCTCCACTGCCAATCCACTAATTGTCAATTTCTGTTCTTAAATCAAAAAGGTAGGAACATAGACAAATTAAGAGATTAGGGAAAACATACAGATTTCCCAAAGTAAAGTTAGCCTTGTTTTCATGCTTACATGAACCTTTTCCCATCTGCTGTTCAAACGCAGTCTCAAGTCAGGCACATGGTGTAAACAGCATTCACCTGTTCCGCCTTTTTTGTGAAACAGATGTTCAACGTTTTGTTAATCCAGTATACAGAGTTCACAGCCTAACTGGCAGGTTCCATCCTTCAAAATGAAACTGCTCAGAGTGTCAGCTCTTGTTAAGACTAACAGCAATAGTCAAAAAAAACCTTACTTTGAGTTCTTTCTTCAGTCGCTCCTCTCGTTCAGCGCTGTATTCAAGCTGATTGGCCTGGCGCCTCAGCAGCTCAGTACAGCCACTGTGTTCCATCTCCATATCTTTCATTTTCTTACATATATTTTGCAATGCATTGTTTTGTTCCTGGGGAAAAAAAAAAAAAAAAAAGCATTAGATACTTTTACTAAGCTAAAGTATTATAGTAGAGAGATCAGAAGAAGAAATACTTTGCAAGTGGAGACTGCATTGAAATAGGTTACTAAAATTAACACATTAGCATGTCAACAGAACCATTTATACCTAACAGCAGACATGCTTTTCATTCACCACCAGGTAAAATGTGCTGGTTCAAAAATAACTACAAACATGACCTTCTGAGGTAACACTAAAATTAGAGCCAATTCCTCACCTGGTATGTTCTCTCTAAAAAAGAGTACAGGGCTGCTCTTCCAGTCTCTTTTTTCTCTCAGCTCAATGGCCATGCTGGAAATGGTTAAGCGCATTTGACAAAATGATACATAGGGACAGAAGTTCTACTTTCTTCTGGTTTTAATTGTTAGAACTTGAAATCGAATCAGACATTTTTAGAAACAGTTACTCCCATAGACTAAGTAATCTTCATTTCTTTTATTCTGAGAAAGACTGCCATCTGTCTAAAAATTTAATTACTTTAAAAAATTATCTACATGAACTACAAAGTTCTCAGTAGAATAAAATAACCAAGCTGTTCTTCATTTCAATTTCTACATTCAGAAGTTGAACCAAGCTACAGGCTGCAATCATTACTAACTCTACTGGACTCAACAGCTCTGTGGAGTCACTGCTACAAAATCCACATTCACACCACACCCAGCTCAGAGGAAAGTAGCCAAATAATGAACCCCCACTAGTCTAGTGCATACTTAAGCTAGAGATCCCAGAAGTCCCCAAAAGACTAGCTTTGGTCTAGTGGACAGGAATAAGCTCTTCTGTAACTAGCATCAGAAACAAGCTATAAATCCTGTGATTTAGTTGGAGGACCTTTGGAGACCCAATTTGTTAAAATGACTTTCTGTGCAAAACACAAAAAGATTACAGTAAGTCCTTCTGCTCATTTACTCCTATTCAATACCATGGCAAGAGACATCTTTTGAAAATAAACCAGTTGGTCTGCAAATTCTGCTATTACTCTTACATTACATAACCTAGTTCTAGAAATTACTAATCAACTACAGAGCAGGAAGGAAGAGGAGGAGAAAATGAATTATTCATATAGAACAAATCTTTGGAAGATTGAAATCTGACAGAACCATGTTTATACATGAAGATCAAAGAAATTCAAGTATTTTCCAAAGTTTGCAAAACGAATCTTAGAAGTTCTTCCAGTTTGAATGTAGAAAGTTTTGGCAACTCAAACATGACAATAAGGGAATCACAAAATCACAGAATACTTAGGGCTGGAAATGACCTTCAGATCATCTAGTTCCAACTCCTCTGCCATGGGCAGGGACACCTCACACTAAACCATGTTACCCAAGACTCCATCCAACCTAGCCTTGAACACTGCCAGGGATGGAGCATTTACCACATCTCTGGACAACTTGTTCCAGTGCCTCATCACACTCACAGTAAAGAACAACTTCCTTGTATCTCACCTGAACTTCCCCTGTCTAAGTTTGAACCCATTACCCTTTGTCCTGTCACTACAACCCCTGATGAAGAATCCCTCTCCAACATCCCTGTAGGCCCCCTTCAGACACTGGAAGGCTGCTATGAGGTCTCCATGCAGCCTTCTCTTCTCCAGGCTGAACAGCCCCAGCTTTCTCAGCCTGTCTTCATAAGAGAGGTGCTTGTCCCTATTTTCTTCGTGGCCCTCCTCTAGACTTGCTTCAACAGCTCCATGTCTTTCATATACTGAGGACACCAAATATGTACACAGTATTTCAAGTGGGGTTTCACAAAAGCAGAATCACCTCCTTCGACCTACTGGTAACTTTCCTTTTGATGCAGCCAAGGGTACAGTTGGCTTTCCCGGCTGTGAGCACACACTGAAGCCGGCTCGTGTTCAGTTTCTCATCGACCAACACCCCCAAGTCCTTCTCCACAGAGCTGCTCTGAATCACTTCTACACTCAACCTGTAGCTGTGCCTGGGATTGCTCCAACCCAGCTGTAGGACTTTCTACAGCGCTAAATGTTACCAACTAGTAAGCAAAAAAAGTAAGTTGCACAGGCACTATACAAACAGCATGCATGTGAAACACATGAATAAACAAAAATTGGAACCTCAGTATATCAAAATACTGGAAAAATACCTGGACATGGACTAAATTTAAGCTAATCCTCTTTCTTTGCAATAAGTATCAAGTCAATACACAGGTTTCTTCCCAACAGCACACTAAAAGAAAAAAATTACCATTCTTATAGAAATACACAACTATTCCCACTCTTTGCCCCACTGGAAAGACACCGAGATATTTATATCTTCAGGTATATTTTGTTAATACTCTTCCAATTATTAACAAAAGTGAGCTGGGAAAAGCACTCATGAAATAAGTAATACAGCATTTGCTGGAAAATAATACATCAAGACTTACAAACATCTTACACTGTAAATGTAGTTAACATTAATCAGACTAAAAATCAACATGAACACATCAAGCTTGTTGTACAAGTCAACTGGAATTGTTGAGATTTCAGAATCTTAGAGATGTCTCTAAACTTTTCAGACTTGGTAAGAAACTGTGTAAGATTATCCCAGCAGTCACCTACACGTCAAAGGCTCGAGAAGAAACAAACTTCACCATGCAACAATAAATATATACACATACATGTACACCTGCATGTCATATACAGAGTTACTATATATATCTGTGCATGAAAAACATGGCTGTTTGTTTTTTTTTTTTAATGTGTATGAACAACACTGTCACAAGTAGTCTAAGCAGAAACTAAATTCTTCTGTGAAGGATTATTACATTCTTCTGATTAACCACAAGGTGATGCTATTGCACTTACTATTGAACTCCAACATCTTTTTGTTAGGAAGTGGATGGCATGCTAAGCGTACCCAATAGAGCAGACTACAAACCTGTTGGAAAGCAGAGTGGATTACTTTCCTTTCATATCTTAGAGCCACATTTCAATAGGTTAAGCTGACTTTGTCTTCATGCCTACCTCAGCATTTTCACAGCCAAGTTCAGAATTAAGAGTTCATGGAGTGCAGTTTTCCCAACCAGGATTTGTATACGTGCTTAGAATCTCATATTTACGTACATATTAAGACAAAAAACAAATCGACTTTAGCTTTCATTTCATACTTTAGAATAATTATAAAGGTATTTAAACAGGCCTGTAAACGCACAACACAAAAACTGGAATACATTTCACTACAAGGGATACATTTCCCACTGTGCGAGTAGTGAGGGACTGGAACAGGTTGCCCAGAGAAGCTGTGGATGCTCCATCCCTAGAAGTGTTCAAGGCCAGGCTGGATGGTGCTTTGAGCAACCTGGTCTAGTGGAAGGTGTCCTGGACCATGGCAAAGGGGTTGGAACTAGCTGATATTTAAGGTCCCTTTCACCCCAAACTGTTCTATGATTCTATGGAGTCATAATTTAAAAATCCAGATCCCTCTGACATTTACTACCAGGTTTAAATCAATCAAGCTTTCGAGCAACAACTAAGACAGTCAGGTATATATTTAACAATTATTTATGTATTTTCATTGGCTGGAAAAGTCCATATTTAACATTTATGTATGTATTTTCAATTTGCTGTAATTTTATTAACTATATATAAAACCCATAACAAGGGCAATGGGCAGGAAAAGAGCTACAGAAGAAAAGTGGAGAAATATGTTTTTACTACTGAAAGCAGCTTAGGAGTTTACAGTACTGAAGCACATTCAGCTTAGGAGCAAACAATTTTCTAGCTCTAATACATTTACCAACCAAACACCTGCCTCTGCAGATCACTTTTATTTCTGAATATATATTCACTGACATACAATACAATGTCCCAAGCAATCTACTGCTCCTTTTCATCTGATGCCAACCACCACTTGAGAGAGTGTACTTCTCCAACACTGCTCTTTTTATACAGTACTAAGCTCACTGAATGTATTTTGAAGAAAAGTCCATTCCAAAGCCTTCTCAACCTAACTCTGCCCACTGTTAGCCAGAACTCAAGAGACAAAGCTTTACTCATAGCCTGCTTTACCTGGCAACTTAAGGATGAAAACTGTATCTAAAAATAGGTGTTTTCATAGCCTATACCTATCCCTAATTTTCTAAGCATCAACTGTGAGTGAAAAATGAGTCACTGAGTGTTGGTTAGAGAAAAAACTCAGGGTATCACCTGTAAATCAACTTGAAGGTTTTTCTCTGAAACCTTCTCTTTCCTTGGCTTTCTCTGGACTGCTATTTTTTTGGCACTGGGACTTGGGTTTTTTAGGGGGAGAGGGGGAGGTTGGTTGTTCTTTTTTTTTTTTATTTGGGGGGGTTGGAGAGGTTGTTTGGTTGGTTTTGCTGTGGTTTGGTTTGGGAGGGTGGGTATGTTGGTTTGTTTAACTGTTAATTTACGGTTCTTCTAACTGTTCTTTCAAAGCACTGTTCAGCATATCCACAGAATTACTGGGGAGAGGGTAGAGGAGGGCACTTCCTTTTTGTCCTTCATTCAGAGAAAATCCAGTTCAGTGGCATCTTGCTCCACCATCAGGGATCCTGGTCATTAAGATAACAAGAGAGTGCAACTCCTTTTGCAGCCCATCCACAGAAACTCTACATATACACATATTACCTGATTTCTACCTCAGGTCTCATTACTGCACCTTTCTTTCAAAATCTTGCCTTCAAACAAAGAGCTAGATTCACTACACAGCATTTTTGGAATACATATAATTAAGGAATTCTCTCTGCCCTGTTTTTTTAAGTGTTGCTCCTACAGGTGCTGTATAGAGTCCAACCAAGGGCACCATAATGTAGTACAAGTAGGTCTGCTGTCAGAACTTTGCTGTCAAGCTGCCAGGTAGGGATTGGTTTGCCATTTGGGAAGACTTTTTGGCACTATCCCAGGCTTAGAGCTGACTGGGTGGGAAGAAAGCAGGCCTAATTTTCTACTGTCTGACCAATGCCCAGACCAAGTGAGACAAGCCTGCCACATCTTAAAGGGAGTTTTAAAATAGGAATATGAAGGGGAAAAAAAAAAAAAAAAGTCTTGCTGACTAAAAGAAAGTGAATCTCTTTAGTAGCAATCTGTTCTCTGCATATGTTATGCATATGACTAAAAGGCTATCAGCCTTACAGAGCATCTGCACTTCACTTCTTTAAAAGCTTAACTGCAGCTGAATACATTCTAGATTTTCCTCTAATGGTATTATTACACTGCTAAGATATAATGTTAATTCAACTGTCCCTTTAAAAGATTTAAATTATTACAATTGTGCAATTGTTTGTGGCCCTGTGGAGCAGGTAAACATTGAGTATGTTAACTCAGCACTTCCACACCATACTACCATATTTCTTTGAAAAATAATTCAGTTTTAATAGCTGGACTGGATAAAAAGTGTTTAAAAAGTTTGTATTTTTATTTTATAAATTTAACACCTGAAGAATATACTCATACCAGTGAAAGTCAAATTTGCAAATCACTCTTTTCATTAAATACAATGAAATTTTCTGAAGAATAACAACACCAGACTCTAAAACAGATTATAAAACCATCTCTCAGTTTTAATTTTTTTTTTTTTTAACTAAAAGGCAGGTTTTCCAATAGCGGTCATTTTTCATATGTGACATGGAGTGAGTAAGGTACAATGCAGAGCTGGAAACACCATCATCACTGTTTGAGTTCCCTTACCACGTACAGTCTCTGTATTACACAAATTATTTCCATGTTTACAGGCTGTTAGATACCAGACTGAGGGAGGTAAGCGGGGAATGAAGTTAGAAGCTAGGTGTTGGGTGTCCTTGATTTTACTAACTCAGCTTCGCACAACAGTACAAATGGGCCTCACTGCCACTGTGCACTGGTAAAGTGGTTTAAGTGTTTACCATGAAAATCAGCCACAACACACTCCATCAAAGCAAGACAGACTGTGACACACTAAGTGTAACTTTATAAAGCTGTATTATTAAAAAATATTCTGTAATATTTACCTATTTGTGGGATTTTTTTACCCTAAAAGAAAAAAACCCAAACCCACCACACATTTTGCACCAAAAAGTCCTTACCACCATCACTTGCAACTTAGAATCACAGAATCATAGAATAGTTAGGGTTGGAAAGGACCTTAAGATCATCTAGTTTCAAGCCCCCTGCCATGGGCAGGGACACCTCATACTAAACCGTGCCACCCAAGGCTTCGTCCAACCTATCCTTGAACACTGCCAGAGATGGAGCATTCACAACCTCCCTGGGCAACCCATTCCAGTGCCTCACCACCCTCACAGGAAAGAATTTTTAAGTTTGAACCCATTACCCCTTGTCCTGTCACTACAGTCCCTAATGAAGAGTCCCTCCCCAGCACCCCTATAGGCCGCCTTCAGATACTGGAAGGCTGCTATGAGGTCTCCACACAGCCTTCTCTTCTCCAGGCTGAACAGCCCCAATCTTCCAACTATTAATACATCATACCTGCAAAAAACTTTCTAGTTTGGTTCTTTCCTTGAGAAGCAATTCATATTCATTCTTGCAAGTTCTACGGATATCATCCTTCTCACTTGTATGTCTTTGCTGTTCTTCTTTCCACTTCTGCTGAGCAATATGAAGCGTTTTCTCAGTCTCTGCCACTTTCTGCTGCAGTTTTTCATTTAACACTATTATTTAAAGAAAAGAAAGAAAACAAGTAGCACTGCAAAGCATGTTAAAAAAAAACCCACAATGATCAGTTCTTCTGTGTATCGTGATATCCTGTGGGACACTGGAGCATTAACAAGTCCAACATTGGACAGCACCACCTTCAAAGAAACAAAATCGGTGCTCCTGTAGCATATTTCATACAAGGACACAGAATGCTTCAGAGATTTTTATAGATTAAAACTCTTCTCCTCTTGGAAAAGAATAAAAATTAGCAGTAATGCTTTGAAGTGAAGTCTCTATCGCATGGAAGCCTTAATTTCAGATTTCTTCAACATTTGGCCAGCTTTTTTTGAATTATCTATTTCATATAGATGTTAGCCTGTTTCAACTAATTCGGAGGTCAACTTACATGACAGTGAAGATAAGCACCTGCCCCATGAAAGAGACTGTAGAAAAACCTAAGCCAGGCTGGGCTAGCAGGCAAAGTCTTAGCTTTTCCAAGGAAATATAATGCTGCTCGAGAGATCCAAACCTCCAGCCAAGCAAATGCCCTGATAGGGGTACATTTATACACTCCTCAGTAAAAGCTTACATGGTGCAGAAACCTTCATTATCTATGGCTGTTTACTTAAGCAGTCTGACTTGGAGTTTTGCTTTATTTTACAAATTTGCTTTCAGATGAAAGTACTTTGGATTAGCTTTACATTTTCCTGAATACAACCAGCTACACTGGCAATTAAAATATCACTTTCTAACAGATTTTTATTTCAAATTCATCCTAGTTTTCTGAAAGTTCTTCTCAGTCAGAGAGGGATAAAATGAACAGAAGAGGCACACTAAGACAACACAGAGAATCAGTGGACACAATAATGGGACAGGATTGTCAGACAGCAGAAAGGCAAGCCTGAGAGCTGCAGAAAAACAATCTGTAGGAAGTACTGAAGAGGACAAGGCACAAATGAGGCATTCTGTACAAGAAACAGTCAGGGTCACATCAAAGCACCAAATGAGGTGAGGAGGACTCCAAGTGACCTGGGAAAGCAAGCAGGAAGTTATAAACTACAAAAGAACTGACAAGCAACACCATGATAATTTGACTTCTTTGGCACCTGTCATGGAAAGAAAAACAAACAAACAAACACAAACCACAAAACCAATGTAAATTACTGTCAGTTAACAAGAATTCCAATTACTGATTCTGGTATTGAAGAAACTAACACACATACACATTTAACAAAACATCCTTGCTTCTGCAAAACCTCTACTACACCCTTTTTGTTCTCCAGTCTTCTCACCACACACAAGCACAGTCCCTTCAGGAAGCTGGCATCCATGTACTGTGGCTCCTTCATCTGCAACAGTCCCTTTTGAGTTCTGCCTCTTAGTGCCTGCATGTCACTACTTTGGTCCCAGCCCCTCCTCAGGCTACAGCTCTGCTGCTGTCTCTCCTGCTGTCCCTTTTCTTCTCTTCCTTCACTCTTCCTCTTGGCATTTACTGCCCTTTCTGAAACATGCTTTGGCAGAGATGCCATGCACTCTCTGATGGGCAGTTGGGTGCACTGTGGTGTGTAGATTTGCCAGCTGTGGAGCTGGCTCAGACCAGCACCAGGCAGACCTAGACCTCTTTCCTCCCACACAGGTGGCCCTGCAGACCAGCACCCATCATTGAACACACTATCTGACACAGCCGTCAATGGGTTTTCCAAATCAAAGTGAATCACAAAATAAGATCTAAAGTACTTTAATACATACACACTACTCGCTTCTAAATTGGCAAGGGGTAAAGTGAGCATGCAGAGAACGAAACAGCTTTCCCCTAAGTGAGAAACTAGCACTTCAAGTCTTCAGCTTGCAATCACAGGGAAATTTCCAAAAGGAAATAAAATGTATTCTTCCAATTTGCAATTCGTAAGATTTGTGTGTGTGTGTGTCCTCCAAAGGATTGAACAGTTCAGTTTTCTAATTACCGTAAAAAATACCTGATAACTTAAGTACTTGCAAGTCTCCAAATCTCCTTCCATTCTTGGAAAGATAAAAATCTCCAAGAGGAGGGCTCTAAACTCCTCATGGAACATAAAAGGTTCAGCAAACTCATAAATGCACCTCCTGTACTAAATTAAAAAGGTACTATACTTAGGTAATTAACAATGCACCTCATTTACTTGTAAGAATGAGAAATATCTCTGCTGAGGATCAAGGAAATCTGAGTTTCTGAATACAAAACTAACAGGGGAAAAAAATGTCTAGGTAAAAACCTTCCCTTCCATATACTACTGTCACAATATACATGTCCCATTACCTATAAAAAGAGAAACAAGGATGATGATAAACCAGACACAAGCAATGAAAAGCTTGAAACCTTTGAAAAGATGAAAGAAAGAAGCAGTATGATGAAAACTTCTGGAAAAAAGTTGTTTGAAATCGTGCAAATGAACAGAAATCAACTGTTTTTGTTGTTTTTTTTTTTCCCCTGAAAAAAAGAAGAACTGCTGGACATAGTGATAACCAGGATGTGGAGACAGCTGCCAGGATTACAATTCTGTATAAGGACAGCACTGAAAGAAGGAGCAATGAAAGGCAAGACGCAAGAATAAAAAAGGGTTGATTGGTTTAACAGGTTAGTTCTAATTCACATGTGAGATAGCAAGAGTTTTGTAGACTGCTATGGGTTTACAAAAGCAGACGGACAAGAGATGGGAGAAGTTAAGAGAAGTCCAAGAAAAACAGCAGTAACTATAAATTTAATTAATCATTGCTTCTCATTTGTTTTCCGAACTTGGAACTGACTTAGTCTTTGTTGATGTTTGCTTTTTTGAAACTTACTTTGCAGTTCCACAAGTTTGGTATTTGCATCATTTAACTCCTCTTCCACAGCATACATTTTCAGACGACCATCTTTTCTGGCAATTGCCAATTCATACTCCAGATGCTGTCGAACAGCCTCGCCTTTCTCAATTTCTGACCGTAATTTGACTATCTGGCTTTCATAGTCAGACAGCTAGAAAATAAATTTGTTTCAGAAAACTGGCATCAATGCTCTTTTGACAAAATATATGTTACAGAAATACACCTACAGAGTATTTTTTAAAGATACCTTGAATCACATTTACAGCTGGCTTCTTAGTCCACTTCAAAGTGAAATATAGACTTACAAATACACATCTATGCAGATTTTAAGTACTTTTACTGGTTTTATGCAAGCTTATGTTCCTATTTCTAGATGAATTTCATGTACCTTAAACATAGCCCTCCATTTTTCAAACAATACACTACTTTAAGAAAATAAAAGTCATAATGCTGTCATCTTCCTGCACCTCGAAGGAAAAACTGCAGCAACAGAAACATTATATTCCACAGGCAATTTTCTAGTAAGTTTCTTCAAATTTAGCACTTAAGAAATACAATTATGTTGGAATGCTAGACTATCAGATATCTAATAACTCACAAGTATGTGTATGAACATAAAATTCAGCTCAATGATGTTCAGCTGTCAAATAGAATGCTATTAAATTTAGCAGACAACAAACTAAGAATGGAAAATGCATCAAAAAGTTATCCTACCCAGATTAAGAAACATAGTATAGTCATTGCTGCTAAACTACCTCCAGAAAATCAAGCTCAAACTATTTCAACACAAGAAGGTAGAAAGTAAAATACACAGAATCACAGAATCACCTAGGTTGGAAAAGACCTGTAGGATCATCAAGTCCAACCATTACCCCAATACTGCCATGTCCACCACTAAACCATGTCACTGAAGGCCTCATCTACATGGTTTTTGAATACTTCAAGGGACAATGATTCCATCACTTCCCTGGGCAGCCTGTTCCAATACCTAATCACCCTCTCTGTGAAGAAATTTTTCCTAATATCCAGTCTAATCCTCCCCTGGCACAGGTTGAGGCTGTAACCTGTTGTTCCTATCGCATTCATTACCTGGGAGAAAAGACCAGCCACCTCCTCACTTCATCCTCCTTTCACGTACTTGCAGAGAGGGATAAGGTACCCCTTGGGCCTTCTCTACTCTAGACTAAACAACCTCAGTTCCCTCAGACATTCCTCATCAGACTTATTCTCCAGACCCTTCACCAGCTTTGTTGCCCACCTCTGAACCCACTCCGGCACCTCAATATTCCTTACTATTCCTTCAGAACATCTACAAAGTAGCTCCTTGACTTCAATAATATTGCATGTACGTAACTTAAGCATTTCCATTATCCACAACTATAGACTAAGTGAATATGGGAAAAACAAACAAAAACCAACCACAAAGCAAATCAAAATAAAACAAACAAAAAAAACGGTCTCAAGTTTATCTGCATTGCAGATCAGAACAGGAAAATGGTGCAGAAGATCCTTGTGCACTCCCATCTTTCAAATTCTCAATCTAAGAGGGGTTTTTATTTGTCTGAATCCAAGTAATTCCAGAGGGAATTGCACAGAACCACCCTGCAGTTGACAGGGCAATGGGAAAACGATGAGTTAGCTGCAGCACAAGAGCAAGTCATTGTGGGAGAAACATAAATTTCTTAATTTGGCTACACACCCCAATAATAAAAGGATATGGAACAAATGGTTCCATAAACTTGGTTTATTCACTGGATTTGGCCAAAACCACATGAATGAACGGCCACATCAACTGCCCCTAGCAAATTGTTAAGAACGGAATTGTTATCTGTAGTAGTAATAATACTTCTGCACCAGCAGAGTTTAAACCAGGATATGAGCTGCCAGATTGGCATTATCAAGTCTGGCTAGGGTTTCTAGCAGCAACAAATCCAAATCCAATTACAACTACTGCTGTACTCAGTGCCCACCTTCTCTTATGTGTACTAGCATGAAAGCTAGTAAAAAAAAAAGATTAAGTATTTTCTTACTACTACTTGATTTTAATACTAGTTTGCTACAATAGCATCAGGGAAAACCTTCGTAATACAGGCTAATTATTTCCCTGTGAATGAAGCTCTTGTTAACAAATACAAGTTACTGATGAACACATCACCACATCTGTACATTATACATCATTACAGCTGTAGAAAACTGGTAATTTGCACAAGCTGAGATACTGCAAGACTACTAAAAGCTGGATTTGGTATATACACAAAAAATACAGTACTAGTTTATGAGTTGCAAACAACTTCTGCAGAATTAAAATGATACTCTAATACCCTGCAGAAAAAAAATATAAATAACAACTAAATCAGATCTTTTTATGAGGCTACAGTCAACTGTGGCTTTTAATTGTGTCTCCAGGCAACCCTACCTAACAGACCACTGGTACCGGCAGTGACTCCTTTCTCTGGAGAAAATTCACACTCTGCTTGATGCACCTTTAACTATCAACAATGCCAGCAGATGTACCTTTGAACAGCTACAAAAGGTCTGTACAGTGACACCTTCCTTGTTATTCTTCAGCTAATGACCACTTTTGATAGTCCATTCTAGAGTATTATTTTAATGAAACAAGATCACATTTATTCTGACAGTAAAATAAAGCAAGCAAAAGAAGGCCTTACTTCTTGATTGTGTTTAATGGTTAAGTCTAACTTTTCTTTTCTAGCTTGACAGAGCTTCCTTCTCAGATCTTCAACAGTATACACTTCTGATTCATTGCTGTTTTGTTGTAACTGTGACTCACACTTGGCATTATGTAAGCTGCAAAATATGAACATTTTCAAAAAAACATGTATTCCTTGTAAGTTTTAATGCTCCTTTATTTCTCTGATCAGATTGCAAGCTCAAAGTTCTAAACATTTACTTAAGCAAAATTCTGCCACACAGTTGTCATCATATTATTACTGTTCTTTGAAAAAGAGTTATACAGAAATGCTTATTGTGCGAGATACAAGATGCTGCAGCAGGAACTACTGTTAGATACACACTTCAGATTTCCCCATAAACATAGTAAGTTTTTTATCAACTTTAAATATCGCTATTATTTTTTTCAATAAACTTTCAGGATGCTTAAAAAAACATTATTCCAATCACATTAAAATGACTAGCAAGTTTATGTTTGTGTCCTCCAGTAAGGCTCATTTTTCAACATGGATTACCATCCCAAAACCATTTCTGCCATGAAACAAATGTACATATCTAGAACAAAAATCACTTTTCCACATTTTTTTTTTCAAAGATACATACATTTAAACTAGACACAAACCACATAAATTAAAGTTCTAGGCCTCTAAAATACCCAGTATCTTCATTTACACTATTTCAGTTAAAATCTACTTGGCAGCTAGCAGAAGCCCTTCAGCACCACAAGCACTATTAAAATAATCAAAACAAGCTTTCATAAGTAGAATGAAAAATAAGTATAAAAAATATATATTAAAACAGCCCAGTTTAGTAATCTTACACACAATTATTGCAACTTCAAACTGAACAACTTTTGAATTATTTCAGGAGTTTAAAATCAGTTTTCACGTTATTTCATATATGTAAGACTGGCTGCAATAATTAGTTGCTCCACACAAAAGCACAAGATGTCAGGATCACTAAAAATGAAATATACTGTGAAAAGAAACATGATTATAATAACCACAAAGTTGGCAACATGTCATACAGAACTGAAAATACTAAAATAGCTTACCTCTGTCTACAAGAGGTCTTAATTACAGAAATGTCAGTCCACCGGGATTTAATTATTTGTTATATTTAAAAAAAAAAATTTACCACTTTATTCCTAGGTTTGTGCAGAGGCACCACCAACATTTTCCATGACTGAGAACTCAACCTTATGATATGTTTTCTACCAGGAAAGACATAAATGTCATCAACAGGGGGAACAGTAATTTAGATCAATTGTTCACTTTAAAGACATTGCTAATAATAAAAAATGAATTTTCAGGGTTCTAGCTAAAGCCTATAAATATTTTGTAATTTAATAAATATGAAGTCTATTCTCCATTTATAAAAAAGATCTATGAGTTCAGAGTATTTGCGTATCATCGGTAATTGTTCCACAATGCAGGAGATAAGGATCACTAAAACCTGCATGTACTACAGAAAAAAACACAGGCACATTTATTAGCTCTGAGTGTTTACTATGGGAGCCATACCCAGAGGAACCAACATGACTCAAAGGACAAAAAATCAGCAACAAGGTAAGTAAAAACACGTATTATTATATTATGCAACTCTTTGCTATTGCAGTAGGAAGATGTGGTGCTAAGTCAGGCAGGTAATAAAAAGCACCCATAAACTGTATAAAAGCTTATTTGTGGATATCATATAATACGTCTGCGAGACCTTTATTTTTCCATGGCTAGGGACAACATAAAATGAAAGAAAGGCAGTCATGTTGATATGATTCAAGAAGTACCAATCTCGACTAAAGATAGCTAAAGGCCAGACAGCACCAAAGGTAACAAAGCACAGGGTAGGGAGAAAACCAGAAGCCAAACTGGAACCTGGAGAGAACTAAGGCAAACAAACGAGTTATGAGAAGGGTAATCACTTTATTAGCTTGCAAGGACGTCGTTTTGCTTCTTTAAACCTACTGTTATTTAATGCTTCTTGCATGGACAGCACACTGGATGCAAGCAAGGGAATGAGTACATTTTTTTCAAATTAATAAAAACCTACATTTAAATCTCAAAGTAAATTACATTGGTTTGCATGGCAATCAGCTTTCAAGAAAGCTATTCATTTCAATGCATCTATTACACAGAAATTAACCAAAAAACCCCAAACACTATGCAAGAATCTACATAATAAAACTTACACAGAGGAAAATTTAACTCTGCTTAACTGGACCAATTTGGGGGAGCAGAGACACTCAAACAAACCACAAACAAGTTACAAACCATCAGAGGTGACAGCAAATTAGGGACGTTATGGAAATGCAAAAAGAACGTAAGAGCATTAAGACACAACAGCACAACAGTAAGTACTGGGGAAAAAAGCATTAAGAGCATTAAACACCTTTTTAAAATACCATTTTCTGCACAGCTTCTAAACTCACAATGCCACTACCAAAAATTTAAAATATAAAGCAGAAAACGCTATTTTTGCTTTTAGTATAGAACTAAATTGAAACAGCAACTAAAAAAGAAAAATAAATAATCAGATCTGAGGGAATATTACCATGTTAAGCACTTCATTATTTTATTTGACTACCTAAACATTTTCAAATACAACAGACATTGGCCTTAAGAATTCTTATTTCTGTAGTATTTTCTTTAATCTTCCCAGCATTACCAGCACATGCAGTACTTTGTGAAAACTTCGTATTACCTACAGTAGGAGATTCTTCCTTTCATATTCCTACTGCAAGTACAAGTGTTACAAGCATAAAGCTTTTGGAAACTTAAAGATTGAAACACACAAAATCCCTCAAAAGTTTCACAGCATGTATGATTTGCAGCCTAGCAGGAATTCAGAGGATATTTTGTACTTCCATCTTCATGTATTAATAGTTTACCCATTGTTGGTTTTGAACTGAAATACGTAGTTTACTAACTACAGCTTTTATCTAAGACACCGTTTTTAGTAGTACTTTTAAGATTCTTCAAGAAAGCATATAAGCAAGTGAATAGCTTTTGAGTTCTATGTTAAAGAATGACTTTTTTAACTCAAAAACCGAATTCATATTCACTTATCAATTCAGCTAGAAATGACAGCCAACAGAACACTGCATAAAAACAGCTTTTCACTAGCTTTTCTTCCACATCTGGCAGAAAATACAGTGATTTTGCAACAGAGAGAAATTTTATTTCCCCTATTATCCACCACTGGAATTTTGCTAAACTTCCCCAGCTGAAAGTTTCCTAACCAAAATTTATATTCATGGATTTTTGCTGTTCCTATGTAACTGGCACTTTTGTATAATCAGACTTTAAACAGTAACAAATAGCTCTCACATCTAAAAAAGACAGAATGAATTAAAGCTTACTTTAATTGCCCCAGAGATTAAACACATACCAGGTTTTAGAAAATAAAAGTCACGTACAAGGTTTAAAGCTGACCTCTACCACCTCAGCTTATGCAGAAAACCATTCTGTAACTTCAGGTCACACTCCTAACTGCAGAGAGGCACAACCTCTATCTCCAAGTCACATCTCCCACAGTCATGTGAGAATTCTTGCAGACCCAATTGCCTCAAGTAAATGCATGCCTTCAAGTAAATCTTGTCATCTATAATGACTGCACTGAATGGCATAGCTTGCATGTATCACACCGTATCTGGTGGTTCTTCAGTCTGAATTACATGATTTCAGGGATCTAGAAAATTAACCACAAAAACACAAACAATATTACTAGGCTTAGAAGTATAGAAGTAGAGCTCACCATGTAGCTTCCATGACAGCAGAGCTGACTGGAGTGAACAAACTCATGACATCCAATAAGCAGCTTTGAGTTTATTAACTCTGGAGAAGGAACATCATCTTCAAACATGTACACTCTTACTTGACAAGCTTCAAAGATCACTCTTTTCCATATCGTTAAAAACATTAAAACCTGCAACAGAGACATATTTCAGTTTATTTGGCAATATAATTAACCATTTGTTAACATTCCCGAACAGTTACCAGTGATACTATGCCTTGTGAACAACTACCACCCATAATCTAACATCAGTTTTAATCAAGAAATAGAACTGTTCCTGTCCTCTAAGCCTGAATATTGCAGATGAAAATAAATATATATTTTGTACAGTATCTTCTACCAGGGTTTTCAGAAGGAAGTAAACACAAAATGTTATGTTTGTATAAATTGTTCCCCTACATTCTCTTTTCCCCTAAGAGTATCACCAATTTAATTTCTCTTCAAAATAATTCTAAGGGAGGTAACAGCACATACTGTGATTTTTTTTAAGCAGGTCAACATCTGAGGTTTGCTGGCAAATGGAAGCTAACATAGCAAGTCTTCCACTTTTTCATAAACCTGGAATTTTCTATTTGAACATATTTTTATTAGATAGGTCAGCAATATTTAGGGGTTTATGGGAAGAACATTAAACTGAACTGTAACTCGGTTCACCCATAGAAGTAACCCACTAATTTAGAGTTACTGACAAAAAGAAATATACAGACAACATATTTACAACATAGACCCTAAAAAAAGCTCCAACACGTACTTCAAGTTGAATAGTGAAGATATTTACGTGTTCTACTAATTAAAGCAAGACAACATGAAAACTAAGCTGTATTCAACAGTCAAGATTAATAAGCCACTAGTCACTGAGGAACTAGTTTTCCATACCACCCGTTTAAGCTGTGTTGCAACCTACACCAAAATCTCCTCAAAAAAATAAGTGTAACAAACACTTTCTCAGATATCTGGGAGATTTACCTCAAGAACAGAATTCACTAACTCTATCCAACAATAGCTGCAGTGAAAAAAAGTCTTTGTCTTAAAATACAATCAAAACGTACTGTCACATCCACCCCATTCTGCAGTTTAGAACTTCCTGAAATTACTCTGAAGCCATAGAGAGAGGAAAAAATAAAATAAAATAAAAAGCCCTAAAGATTATTTTCTGAGAATACAAATTATTTTGAATACACAACATTCCTCTGTTAAAATATGTATCAACAGATAGCTTATTAGAACACAGAGGGATACCCTCTAAAAGCATTCTATTTCACTTCCAAACAAAAGTATTCAAATGGCATGGAATGGCTTGTAGGAGCCACATAATTAAACAAGATAGTGTTCATCTGAGGGATTAATACATTTGATGGGCATTACCTTACAAAGCTTGCATCATATTCTCCTCATGGACTTCTGAATATGCTTAACTATGAACTAAGCCATTGATTAAGACTGGATATAAGTAAGTTCTTTACTGTGAGGGTGGTGAGGCACTAACACAGGTTGCTCAGAGCAGCTCTGGATGCCCCATCCCTGGCAATGATCAAGACCAGGCTGGAGGGGGCTTGGAGCAACCCCGTCTAGTGGAAGGTGCTCCTGTCCATGGCAGAGGGTTGGAACTAGCTGGGTCTTTGGAGGTCCAACCCAAAAAGGCTGCACGACTGAGACTCTCAAAAAAGGCCTAACTATGATCTCAAAACGTACTATTTTAAAATACACAATGCCAGGCATAACTAACATATCTGCACTGGACCCTACAAAACTCACCAGCAGTTGTTTCAGCTCAAAGAATCACTAGATTTTCATTAACGTGGATTAAAAATTCTATGCAAGCTAAAATTCAAGCAGCAGCAGCAGCAGTTCACTTCGTTACACCACAGATGTCACTGGACCAGGCGCACGCCGTACCCTCGGCTCACACGGTCTGTCCGGCAGGCCGAGGCGACAGCCACAAGGAAGCGGGACAGAGTTTCAGCACACCCCTCACACCTGCTCGCAGACACCCAAAACCGCCCAGCAGCTCCGATCTCCGCCGTTCACCGAACGCCTCCAGCCCGCTGGAGACCAGCGGGGCAGCCTCAAGGCCCGCCCGCCGCCGGGATGGGGCTGACGGTGTGGTATCGCACAGCCCCGGAGGTGCCGGAAGCGCCGGACGCGGACTGGGCACTCCCGAGCCCCGCGTGAGGCGCCCTTAGCCCGCCGAAGCCCCGCAACCACCCCCGTCCCACCTTAGCGAGGCCGCCGGCAGCCCGCCCGATCACTAGGGCCCGGAGGGAAGGACGCGGCCACGCCCCGACGCGCCACACCGCGCTCGGGAGCTCCCCAACGACGACTTCCGGCCGCGGAAGAGCCCTGGCAACGCCGCCGCTCGGAGCCGCCGAGAGGGACGTCGCGCATGCGCGGGCGAGCACCGTAGGGCTACGCGGCAGGCTGGCACCGCGGTTTCCCGCCATGCCTCCCGCCGCGCTTGTCCGCCCGCGAGGAAGCGGAGGCGCGATGCTGAAGCCCGTCGCGCAGGCGGCTTGCGCGGAGCGGGCAGCACGGCTGGGAGGCCAGGATGAGGGGCCGGCGCGCCCGCGGTGTTTGCCGCCCGTTCCACCTGAGGGTTTGCACTTCGTCCAGTTCAGGAGTTGCTTCGGGCCACCCGAGACTTACGGGTGAGTGCAAGTGTCCTCAGCCAAAACCGGTATCCCTCAGCCAGGCCACTCCACAGCTGGTTGGGCATGCAGGATGGTTCACCTAGTACAGCTGCCTGTGCCAGCCAAATAGGCAGTCACCCGTGAATATCATCATCATCAGGCAGCTCTTGGCAGCACAGGTAGCATACCCAAACACCCCTTCGTGGGAGGGTAGGTATCCTCCTTCCCAGAGCTGCTGGCATGTGGGCGTGTGTGCAGCTGGACAGTAAGAGATACTGAATCTGCAAATTAGATTATAGGGTAAATATGGATAGCAAATCCTAGAATCACAGAATGGTTTGGGTTGGAAAGCTCATGTAGTTTCAAACCCCTGTCAGGAACAGCAACATCTTCCTCTAGACCAGATTGTTCAAAGCCCCACCCAACCTGGCCTTCAACACTGCCAAGGATGGGGCAACCAGTTTTCTGGGTAACCTGTGCCAGTGCCTCACCACTCTGACAGTAAATAACTCCTCCTGGTATCTAATCAAAATCTACTCTCCCTTCAGTTCAAAGCCATTAACTACCCCTTGTCCTGTCAATAAAGGTCCTTGTAATGAAAAATACTAACATGAAAGCCAGACTGAGACTTGGATGCCCTTAAATATGGGGTGGCAGATTCTTCACCCAGATCATCAGAAAAACAAACAGGTGAAAGATAATGGTGCAAAATCGTAAGAAGGGTTGACAGGGAAACAAGTAACAAGGCTACCACTGTTGTTTGCACAAATTGAAAAGTTCTTAAACACCTCAACTGAGAGATTCCAGGGTCCAGATGGAAGCATATGTAATGTCAAACAGCAACAGATGCCGAATAAAATTTACCCTACAATAATCCTAGGAAAGTGGATGAGGTATTCTGGAAAGAGTGTTACAGGCTGAAGGGAATTAAAACACCTTTAACATGTCCAGTAACTACCATTGACACTATCGTAAGTAGATACACATTAAGATATTAGTAACATGTTCTCTTTAACCTGAATTTCCACAGGCTGTGAGAAATATTGCATGAGCAAGATTGTGTTAAAAGCTATCACAAATCACATTTGGAAAAGCAACAGTAAGGTTGCTTTAAATAAAGGAAAAGTATTATAAAGGTAAAAGTAGTAAAAGAGTATCGGTCTGCATTCAAAGAGAAAAATGCATCACCATGTCCATAGTCTACCAGGTTATCTAGGAAAACACACCATCCACAAATGACCAAGGTAATCTTAGAATTCATACAGTCCAAAAATGACCAGGTTATTTAAGACCACAGGGTCCCGAAGATAAATAAGGCACTTAAGAGACAATAATATAAAACAGATAGCGCACGGAATGGGTGCATGAGGAAACACAGAAAAAAAAAAAAAATCTGTTAACTCAAGCCCAAGTAATAGCATAGTTGGAGACACATCAAGATTGGATATATATGACTGTAGTGAGCTCACACAATGCTCCAAGTTGTGTAACATGCTGTTTCTTCAGCACTGGATATGCAGCACCCATAAGTCTAACAGGCTGCAGGTACTGTACTGCTGCTTATGTGAGTACAGTCTTATCACTAAGGGGAGTTGTGTTGCATTACCTATTCTCAGGTTTTCTAAGTTGCATGTGATCTGGTAACCCATTCCAGCTCTGTGTCACTGTATAGTCTGAATGCAACAAATTGAAAAAGAAGCATAAAGTCTTCAACTTTAATTCAGATTTTTGACTCTAAAGGTCTCAGATTTTATAATGTCAAAAAATCTACAGAGAAATACAATTCACAAATTAAAACATCTTTTATCTTTACATACATGCTTACATTTGTAAAAACAAAAAAAAATTGCTGGGATGTTTCTTCTAGTTGGAATTCCCCAAAAGGAGTAAGATTACACTAAAGATAGTTACTTATGAAGTTTAAATCATCTTGTATTAACCACAAAGCTGCAGTTGGCCCATACTCAGGAAAACACTCATACTGAATTCAAAGTACAGCTAAGTGCTTTGGCTTACAGGTCAGCACGACTGACTACAAGAATGCAAGTACTGCCAGAGCATTTAAGGTTCCTGTCACTTTTTATTCCAAAGTTGTTTCCTGTTGCTTTTAACTGCAAAAAGACCGCTTTGGGCTAAGGTTTTCTAAGATGTGTGGTTAAGTATAGCCTGATACTGGTATCCTTCAAGGTCTAGACTGAAGTTTTAATTGCAAGTCACAAGATAGCCCATCGTATTTTACCCCCTTTGAGATAAGTCTCAAAACTTCATTTCTAGTTTGTGACCTAGTTTATGTATAATTGGCTTTTAGCTGTGGTTTTGCTACTTCTGCATCACAGTTATTTTAGATGTCTTGTGCCAAATCAAAGAGGTTCTTTGCCCAGAGGCACAACATTGGAAGATTTCATCATGTTGCAATTCTTTTAATAACAGCATGGCTTTTTTTTTTTTTTTCCTGATCAAAAATACACTAGTGAACAGGGCTTTGTGTCTGCTGTTCTCTGATGAATAGTCAAAAACTGAACATGATTAAAAACGGCCTGGGATAATAAATTAAGGGATAATATGAACAGAGTTGTAGAGATTTAACACCATATCTGGAGTTTTGGTAGGTTTTGCCGCCTTAATACCTTAACCAGATACTGAATCAATAAGCAAGTTTATCTTCCCAAAATAATACACATATCATTTTTTACCTTGATTCACAAAAATTGCTTCAGACACAATGCTGCTGTTGCTGCATGCATGTAGCTAACCAAACACTTTTTCTTCCTCCCACACTGAAAACTACTTATGATATATCATAGAATCATAGAATCAACTAGGTTGGAAAAGACCTTTAAGATCATCAGGTCCAACCATTACCCCAGCACTGCCAAGTCCATCCCTAAACCATGTCACTAAAGGCCTCATCTACACAGTTTTTGAACACTTCCAGGGACAGCAATTCCACCACTTCCTGGGCAGTGTGTTCCAATGCCTGATCACCCTCTCTGTTGAGGAATTTTTCCTAATATCCAGTCTAAACCTCCTCTGGCACAGCTTGAGGCTGTTTCCTCTTGTCCTATCTTGTGTTGCTTGGGAGAAGAGACCAATCCCCACCTTGTTCCATCCTCCTTTCGTGTACTTTGAGAGGGATAAGGTCCCCCGGGCCTACTCTTCTCCAGACTAAACAACCTCAGTTCCCTTAGACGCTCCTCATCAGACTTATTCTCCAGACGCTTCACCAGCAACATACATGCTATATTAGGTATTTCTTCACAGTTCAAGGAATATTTTGGTCTAAAATCTACTTGTAGGCAGGATATATAGGGGATTTTTAGAAAGGTGGAAACAAATCAGAGTTCTTTCACACATGGGATTCAGCATTATTCTTATTCCTCAAAGAGACCTGTTCAGGATGTCATTAGAAAGAGTGCTTGACATTGGGGTAATGGAGAGAATGTGGTGCTTCACTGTGGATCTGGCCTTGGCAGAGCAAGAGGCAACTACTTCTCTTGCAGGCAGGATACGAGCGTGCTTCTTTGCAATGAGACATAACCCACACCTGCAGGAAATCAGTTGAAAATGTCTGTTTAAAACACAAGTTCAAGACATAAAACTCCTCATGGTAAGAAATACTTTGCACCTCTGAAGTTCGTTCCTGGCTTGTAAGCTTAATGCATATTGTGTTCTGACCAAGAGGTCAGCTCAAGAGGTGGGTGGCAGGTCTGTCTGAAGGACAGAATTCTGTCCTTCAGAATTAAACTGCTAAAAAATGCTGACATTTAATAGCAACAGTATGGCATGTTACCCTCTTTCAAGTACAATGTCTGGATTGCAAAATACACATTTGTTTTTCCTTCTGTTGTGTCTGTACTTGAACAGTCTGTCTTCAATCTTATCTTTACTAAACATGCACAAATGAGCCTGATTACACACAAAATATAACTTGTTCAAGTAATTTTATTTTTCATTCTTTATATTTAAGTTTGCTTTGTTTTCTTTAGCTTTAAAAAATGCTTTAGTCATATTAGGCTGTCTTGAAGAACACCCTACTTTTGTATGAAGCCAAGTCATCTCGAGTTACTTCCTTAATTAGGGAAAAAAGCATTTTCAGCTGCTCTTCACTGGTTTTAATACAAGGCACAAAGCTTCTGATTCCTAAGGAATGTCAGATTCAAAAGACTGTTACCAAGGGTTGAGGAAATTAGAATGTTCTCAGGAGATTCCAAAAGCATTACTTCAAAACTAAAATATGAACTTATTTGATCTGATGTATAATTAAACAGAGCAGTGACTTAGCTAAGGAAGTCCTTGCAGATTGTTTCTGCTTAGCAGAATGTTAATATACACAGTTTTTGCACTATTTATTGCAGAAAAAAATACAAAACTTTATGCATTATTGAAATACTTACATATGTGCCAGTGCAGATACAATTTCTACCACTGCCAAGCTTTCATGTACCTCTAAACAATTCTAGATGTACAGTTAATTCTTTTAAGGAATTTTTGCTCCAAGTCATCCACTTGTGGATAGGAAGAAAGGGTTTTTTTTCTGTTTAATATGTTGTTGATTTCTGTTCATATGTTCTGTTTTCTGATGAGCTCTTGCCTAACCCTGTAGAAAGCTGATACTTGTGTAAGGCATATGAGTTTCACCACCTCAAAATCAGCCAAATTTTACTGGTTTAAGCCACTGGAAAACTGCTGTTTGTCCCTGCTTAACACAGATGGGGTAAAGTTTTGCAGTTAACATTTGTAAGCGATCATTTTGAATTTGAGTAAGCCAGCGACTAGAAAAAATCACAATTTGCTCTTTGGCAACTGCAGTGGGTGTTTTGGCCCTGAAATGCAAGGCCAGTTTCAGTATCAAAACTGAAAGCAAGATTATGCTTATCACAAGGGCTTATCTTTCTTTGCGAGCAGCACAGAGGGCAGCTGGCGGAAAATTGGTCTGTAAAAGCTGTGTGCCAGGATGATCACTCAAGCACAAAATAGTTAGGTCTGCCCTGTGAGACAATGTAATTGTGCAAGAGGTAATTTCTTGTGCCACTACTTCTGCAGTGCAGGATTGCAGGTGGTGCTGCGTGGGACATGAGTTAAAGACAAAGCCAAGCCAGAGAGCTGACAGGACAGCTAATTTTCACTGAAGAGGGAGAAGAACTAGAGCCAATAGGACAGGCCAGCAAAGAGCAGGATGCTGTTGGGTTAAAATTTGGGTCTGAGGTCTTCTGTTGGGAGAAAAGTGCCTGTTGGGGGAAGGTGTGGGGAGGCTGTAGGTGCTTGGTCCATGCGGTAGGGAGACCACCTGGCCAGCAGAAAAGGGAGAGAACGGCGCAGTGGCTGAAATTCTGGGAGTGGAGTGAGCTTCATACTGCTAAGCCATGAGAGAGCAGAAACAGAGAGCAGGAGAGGAATAACACAGTGAATTAACAGTAAAACATGAAAGAAAGCTAGGAGTTTACGGCAACTGGGTTGCAGGCAAGAACGCGGTGGACCTGAGGAACTGAAGCTGTGGGTTGTTGGGTGTGGGGGGGGAAGTCCAGACATTGAGAAAAGTAAGCAGGCAAAGAGTACACAGGGAGCATGAGCATCTCTGGGGCCAACAGCAGCACGGGATGATGGTAAGTCTGGGAAAGGGAGGCCTCTGTAACAGGGCAGAAAAAAACACAAAGGGACTATCGGGGCAAACACCTGTCTGCTTTACACACGAGGGTGGTGACAATTAGCTGCTTCCAGTCAGTGAATGGAGCGAGCTTTCAAGTCAGAAAGGGCCCAGCGCAAGGCCGGACTTAACGAAAGCAACTCCGGGCGAGCACTGGTGACTGAAGTGCCGGCGCTTGGCCCCGGGCCAGGCTTGTCACCAGCCTGGCGGCAGTCCCGCGCCTGCCAGCCACGCTGCTGTTGCGGCACCCGGCGCAGCCCGCCTCACTGTCAGGGGAGTAAGGGTCGGATTCACGGGGACACGCGAGGAGGTGGGCCAGCCCGCGGGCCTTCGGACGCTGCCGCTGCCGAGGGCGGCCAGCGGGATCGCGCCGATCCGCCTCCTGCTCCCCCAACCCTGCAGTCCCGCGACTGCCCCGCCCCCGCGGAAGGAGGAATGAGCCACTTCCATAGCTGAGGAGAGAAGGGGTGGATGAGAGTTGGTCTTTCCTTTTATCCTTCCCTCCGCGCCTCGGGGCGTGCTGGCCGCTTCTCTTGGCTGCCTCCGTTCGCCTTCACACCTGGAGGCGTGAGCCGAGCAGTCTGTTTTCATCAGGCCTGCGCCGCCTCACCCCGACACCTCCCCTGCCGCCTGGTTGCGGCGTGTGGTTGGTACCGCCCCGCCTGGCGGGAGGAGGGAGCGAGGCTGTAACTCCGGCGGCGGCTACCGCTGCTGCTGGTGCTGCTGCTGGAAGAAGAGGTGGGCTGCAGGCCGGGCAGCAGCGCGATGGGTAGCGAGGTGCCAGGCCGCTGCAGCTGGGGGGGGGGAGGAGGGTAGAGTGATGGGTGGAGTTTCGCGTCGGCGCCGTCGCGGCTTATATGAGGGGGGCGGGCAGACGATGCGTCCATTTGGCGGGAGCGGTCCGGCAGAGGAGGGGTAAGGTTTTGCCAGCCGAGCGGGGTTGTACTGTGCAGTGTCGTGTGTGCGCGGTGGGGCAGAGCGGGCTGCCGGCAGGCGCTCCCGGCTGCGTGCGGCCCGGCCCGGCCCGGCCCGCGTGGGTAGGCAGAGCGCGCCGCGGGTGGGGGCTGCGAGTGCAACCGCCAGGGTCCGCGGGGTTCCGGCGGGCTGAGGGGTGGGCGCGGCACAGTGTCTCCCGGCCTGGGGGCCGCCCAGGCGCCGTTACGGAGCGCGCCGTTGATGTCCCCTCGTGTGTTGCCCTTGTCTCTGCTCCCCATCCCCGGTGCGTTTATCCCAGCAGCGGGACCTCGAGCGGCTGGCAGCGCCTCGGTGTCGGGGACTTGAGGTGCAGACCCCTCCCCTCGGATCAATTCTGCTGGCGGCAGCGGGCGTCACGTCGGTGGGAAAACATGAGCCGAGATTTCAAACCCGGAGACTTGATCTTTGCCAAGATGAAAGGTTATCCCCATTGGCCAGCCAGGGTAAGGCACCCCTCCTCCTCTGCAGGCCGCAGCGACCTCCTGCTCGGTACCTGCCCTCCCCTCACGCTGTTCGGGCTTTGTGTAGCAAGAAGCGCTTTCAGGCACCCGCGGAGAGCCAGGCGCTGAAACCGCGCGGCGCGCTCGGCCGCCCCTTGCCCGAGGGGAGGGCAGCGCAGCGCTCCCGTGTTTGGAAGCGACTTCTGAACCGCGCTGCAGATCCGTGCTTGGGTTTGCTCTTGCAAGTGCAGGTCGCTTCTGTAAGCAGTAGTCCTCTCTAGTAGTTGTTAGCTGTGCTAATTTGCATAACAGCTTTTAGAAATGAAGGTCGCTGTCGATAGCGCGGTGCTGGAGCTCTGCAGGCATCTAACGGCACCAGAATGTTCGTCCCGAGTAACTGCCCTTTTTTGACAAAAGAAAGTGATGTCGGGGTTACTCTTCGCTTCTAAACGCGGCTATTCCTACACTGCTTCGTATAGAATAAGCCAGGTGTGTGAGAGGAGTTATCTAGTCCTTTTTTCTGCCTTCTCCCTGGTTCCTTGGAAGACGCAGAGTTCTGTGACTGCTGTAGACTATTCGATGGTCGTAGGAATGCAGAGAGAAGAGTAATAGAGGTATTTTGCTAAGTTGCTGGTTGAATAATATTTAAGTTCATTGACATTTTGTATCACTTGACATTTGGGTTTGGCCAAGCTCAGCCTAAGGCAGGACATCTTGCTATTGCTTGTGCTGAAGGAGGAGTGGTGTTTGAATGGAACTGAAATGTGCTTTTCACTTGTAGCATGTCATGCCTCTCCAATTAAAGAAGATGATCATGTGAAAAAGGTTGCTCTAACAGGAGAAGGGTTGTCACTTCCTATACTTGCTGATACTGGTTTTGATTCTGCTGTGTTTTTAACATACAGTTAAAAAGAGATCTTGATACCAGCTTTACTTCTCTGTAGTTTGGCTTTTTTTTTCCTTTTTAATGCCTAACAATTTTACCTACTTTCCCCTATATTGTTCTTAACTGTTACTTGACTTGAATTACAGTCTCTCTTTTTCTTAGGTGGATGAAGTTCCTGATGGAGCAGTAAAGCCTCCTACGAATAAAATGCCTATTTTCTTTTTTGGCACCCATGAGACGTAAGTCCTTTATATTTAAGGGTCATAATTATCTTTTTTTTTTTTTCCTCATTGTAGAATGCTGTGACAAGAAGTTAACAGCTTGTCTGAATGTAGTGTGTTTTATAGTATAGGTTAAACTATAGTATTTGAACAGCTACTACAGTATTAGAACAGCTCTTCCTAAATTAATCTCTTTTGACAAGACATGCTTCTCTGACATTTGCTTAAGGTAATCACAGGAATGGGATACCGTAACTATACCATATGCACTTTCCTTGTCAAAATTAAAAAAAAAAATTCCTACCCACAGAGCCATGACTGGTAGGTGTTTCATTCTTCAGTAATGAACTTTAATTCTATAGTCCTTTATATCCTCAAAATTCTCAACAATATGTTCTCAAATAAAAAGAAGGCTGAGCACAATGAAGTAGACAAAATTTGGGAAACTGGCAAATAATCGTATATTGGCTTTTGGTGGGTTTTGTTTTCTGGAGAAGTTTGGGTTTGTAAGTAATTATTTGTAAGATCTGGAGAAAAAAATGAGGAAGTGCAGTTAGATTTATACCTGTCAACTTGCAAAATACTTACCTTTAGGTACTTGCTGCGGTGCTACCATTTTGCAGTTGTGGAACATTTGCTTTGAGGGGCTGTTTCTTCCACGGCTAAATTTGATTGTAAATATGCTGGGGTTTCTAAATTTATGTCATTTTGAAAACTATCATGTTACTTTATAGCATGTCTGGTTGTCCTAGTGTAGATTTCTAAGACATCAGATTCAGTTCTACTTTTGTTGTCTGGTTGTTTGTGGTGTTTTTTAAAGAAACCAAACCCTATAATGGTGTGGTTTTAATTCCACTCTTTTTATTAATAAAATGGCAAATGGTATACAAGCAGCTCAGAGATAGAAGTTGTATATACAAATAATGTTTCACCCATTTTGTGGAAAGGCCTTGGTTTTTTTCCTTCGTCTGATTAAAGATTGTTTGAAACCGCTTTAATCTGGCACTTTGCATCTGTCTTAATAAGCCACATCTGTCTTAATAAGACAAAACACATTGACCTGTTGAATTAAAGAGTAAGCATCCTCTTATGTTTCTTGATTCTTTAAGAAGTGATTTACCTTTGAAAAAGATTTGTGTATGCTTGAGTCTTAACACCAGTGTGTTTTTTTTAACTGTTCACATCTTCGAATGGCTCATGTTTTTTTAGTTTTGTTTTGTGTGTGTGTGTTGTTTTGTGGGTTCCTGAAATTTGATTTAATGTTGCAAGGTTTGAATCTTGTTGCTTGTTTATTTTTCTTTTTAAGTAAGATTTCAAACAATGCAGAAGGTTAATTTTTTTATCAGTATTTTTTTCCAGATTTTTTTTCTTACATCTGAAAGCACAGTATTATTTTGATCCTGTCCTTGGTACTGTTGGTAGGCTGAAGGGATAGTATCCAGGGGGACCTTGACACGCTTGATAGGTGGGCCAATGCCAACCTCATAAAGTTCAACAAGGCCAAGTGCAGGGTCCTGCACATGGGTCAGGGCAATCCCAAGCACAGCTATAGGCTGGGCAAAACCTTGGGCGACATGGTCCAGAGTGTGGTGTCTCTGCCCATGGTAGGGGGGTGGAACTACATGATCTTAAGGTCCTCTCCATCCCTAGCCATTTTATGATTTTCAAATTCTGTTCCATGACATTTAATTTTTGTTTAGGTTTGTACCTGTCAATAGTGGGCTAATGATCCATCAGGTATTAGGTAGAGCTAATGATTTTCCGTATTCTCTCATGGGAACCAACATAAATTGGTAAGCTTATTCTCTGCTGTGCTTCAGAGTTACACACCTGATCAAGTTAGACGCTGTGTCTTCAGCACGTTAGTAGTCTGTACATATACAGCCTATCTTACTGTAAGTAGTAGCAGCTCTGAAAATCTAGATAACTAGTTAAATCATTCTAAAAAGGCCTTCTGTATGAAAGATGACATTTTCTAGCTGTGTGGATGGATACAGTGGGAACAAGCTATGGCAAAAAGCAAAAGTGAGATCAGCTTGGGAATTATTATTCCCAGAAGTCAAGTAAGAATACTAGCTCAGTTTTGTAGATTACCATAAAGAAGTATAAACTAGTACTTTGCTATGCAGGACAAAGATACACAGGCAGTGGTAAGACAATTACTGTGACAGAAGCTTGTATAAAAATATTTTTAATACTTCATCAAGAAAAAGTTTGGGGGAGAAACTTAAGGAGCATCTTGAAAGTTTTATTGTTCAAATTCGGTAAGTTATGAGGTCCTGTTGTCACACTGAAAAACTACTGAATTAATGCTGAGTTGCATTAAATACATGAGCAGTCAGTGTATCCTAGTGTTGCTTTTTCATGTCCAGTACACTAACAATTCTTAAATTTAGTATTTTAACCAGATTACTTTTAACTTAAGAACTTGGATTTTTGTTGGAGGCATTTCTTCTCTTTTAAATTTTTCTCTTGCTTTACATTGTCCAGATTGCAGAATTTTTTATTCCTAACATTTAAGCATGATTTGTTTAATAAGGAAGCAATTGCTCTGTTTGTTTGCAAGCTACTCTTTTTCAGTTGTTCTGATTCAGTAGTTGGTTGTCCTGTTGGCTGTAATCTTAAGATGCAGCTTCAGCTGTTGCTTGCCAGACACTCAACACCCTGGGAAGGAGGGGGTCCTTATGTGTGGTGGTACTAGTGAAAAACTTGGGATGTTGAAGGCAAAACTTGAGGAAACTAAAGATATTTACATAGTAGAATCAGTTGGAGTAGTAGTAGTGAATTGCATATCTTAATAACATTTGGTGCTTACTTCTCTGAAAAGACGAACCATTTAAAATGTGAAATTCTGTTCATTTTGTGCTTTCTCTCCTTAAGGGCATTTTTGGGACCAAAAGACATATTCCCTTACTCTGAAAATAAAGATAAATATGGAAAACCAAATAAGAGGAAGGGTTTTAATGAAGGGTTGTGGGAAATCGACAACAATCCCAAAGTGAAGTTCTCTCATCAGCAGGTAAGTTATGCAGAGTCTGCATGTCTTCATCGCTGTACTGTTGAGGAAAAACAAAAGGCAATGAATGTTTCCCTCCTGTAAGCTAGTGAATTATTGCTGTTGTTCAGTGGCAGGTTATGCCAGTTACGATTTTAATTTCATTTTTAATTGATATCTAGTATTAATAGCAAGAGAGATGGGAGTGTTGTTTAACTAGGGGTATCTGGTTATTATAAACTTATTGTAAGCTTATGGGGGATCATGTTGACTTTCAGAGTAAAAGGCTGAAAGCTGGCTTTTTACAATGCACATCAAGCTTTAGTTACAGCTATACGTATACTTACACGTGTATATATAACTATAGACTGTGTGTATTAATATGCATTCCCAAGATACTCATCTCTGGAACTGTACTGCAGAACTGGAGTTGTGTCTTTGCCTACCTTCTCTGAACATTCTGTGGCCTCTTGGTTTTGCTGTGTACTCGGGGCACATACTGGGTCTTCTAGGCAATGCTGCAGTAATAATAAAAATAAAAGGTATATTTTGGTATGATTTGCTGCTCTTATGCCAGACTTGCCATTTTAACACCAGTTAATCCCTGCTTCACAGGTATTGTAAGTTGTTTCTGAAGTACTGTTGAGAGATAAGGTGATGTACTTCACATGTATACTTTCTCTGCTCAGGGTATGGAAAGATGCTAATCCCCTCATTGAAGTGGGAAGGACTGTATTAATAATACTTCAGCTTCAGTGATAGCTCTTAAACAAGGTCTTTCATTAGCTGTTCAGGTTCTGTCTAGAGCTATTGGATTGTTCTTTGCCGTCCCCCCCCCCCCCCCCCCCCAAGTCATATTTAAAATCTCTCTCTTCTACGATTCTAGTTCTATAAGTGAGCCTTAAAAATACTCAAGGAGATTTTGTTAGTGGGGGTGTTTTGACTGGAGTACTGTGTCCAGTTCTGGGCTAATCAGTATAAGGGAGATGCAGACATCCTGAAGTGAGAGTTACACAAAAATGATAAACTGGAGCATCTCTGCTGTGAGGAAAGGCTGAGTGAACTGAGACTGTTCAGCCCTGGAGAACTCAGGGCTGATATCATCAGTGGGTACAGATAACTGATACAGGTGTGTAAAGAATCATAGAATGGCTAGAGTTGGGAAGGACCTTAAGATTATCTAGTATTCAGTCCTCTGCCATGGACAGGGACACCTTCTCTTAGACAAGCTTGCTCAAGGTCCTGTTGAGCATGGCCTTGAACACTGCCAGGGATGGGGCATTCACAGCATCCTTGGGCAGCCTCTTCCAGTGCCTCACTGCCCTCACAGTAAAGAATTTCTTCTTTATATTTAACCTAAATCTCCCCTGTTTAAGTTTAAACCCATTGCCCCTTGTACTGTCACTTCAGTCTCTGATGAAGAGTCCCCATCTGGCATCCCTGCAGGCTCCCTTCAGATACTGGAAGGCAGCTATGAGGTCTCCACACAGCCTTCTATTCTCCAGGTTGAACAGCTCCAAGAGGTGGATCCAGGCTCTTTTTGGTAGTGCTCAGTGACAGGACCAGAGGCCATGGACAAACTGCAACTCAGAAGGTTCCCTTTGAATACTGGGAAACATTTTTTTGCTTTGAGGGTGACTGAGCACTGGCACAGCTTGCCTGGGGAGGCTGTTGAGTGTCTGTACTTGAAGATACTCAGAAGTTGTGTGGACATGATTCTGGTCAGCTGTCTGTGGGTCACCCTGCTTCAGCAGGAAGGCTGGACCAGACTGAATTACAGAATTAATGAAGTAATACAGTAGACTTGTGCAAATTTTCTTATGAATTTTCACCTTAGCTTTAAGGCTGTAGAAAGCCTTTCTTTGATAGCCTTCTCTTTCTACCCTGTGCTGTGTGTTCTTACGTTTGATTTGGAGCAAATCAAGCCCTTAAGGTTTAGCCAGCTCTTGTTTTTACCTGTGGGCAGTTCTTGTTGATGCTGAAGGAGTACATCTGCAAATGGCTGACTAGATTTAACATTCTGTAAGATAAATCAAGATGCAAAACATCCTGTAATGTTACTTGTTCTGAAATAAAACTGTCGGTAAGGCTACTTCAGAGTGAGTTTCTGGGAGCAGTTTTGATTTCAGCTCAGTCATGAATCTTCTATGTTAGTTCTCAAAGCACTACTTTTTGGGCTTAATTCTTAGAATTGAAATATTATGTCACCGTTCTGTCAAAGATTGTAGATAAGATGGAGTAACATCCCACTTTTACAAGAATAAGAAAATTGTGGTGTGATATTCGATTTTAGTTTTGCTTTTACTTGTTTCCGCTTGTGTGCTGAAATGAGCTTCATTTCTTCAGTACTTTGAAGGATAGCACACAGTTCACAGTGATAAGACTTCAGAGGTACTTTACTTCATGTTCTTGTTAATTCCCGTGGTGTTTGATGATGTTGCAGCTTTCCTGTTTATGAGGATGTGTCATTGTTTAAACCTAGGCGGTAACTCAGTACCATGCAACCGCTCACTCACCCGCCTTGGGTGGGATGGGGAGGAGAATTGAAAGAATGGAAAACCCTCAGGTTTAGATAAGAACAGGCCAATAACTAAAATAAAGTACAATATAACGTACTAATAATAAGGAAAATAACAGAGAGATAGAAACCTAAAAGGTGAAAAAGACCCCAAAACCCAACCAAAAAAAAAACAACTAACCAAACAGTAAGCACAAGTGATGAACAATAAAATTGCTTGCCACCTGGCTGACCAGTACCAACCCTGGCCCCAGCAGTGATTGGTCTCTGCCAGCCAACTTCCCCCACTTTATATACTGGGCATGATGTGCTGTGATATGGAATATCTCTTTGGCTAGTTTGGGTCACGTGTCCTGTCTCTTCCTCCTCATGGCTTCTTGAGCCCCTCCTCACTGGCAAAGCATGAGAGACTGAAAAAGTCCTTGATCACAGTAAGGACTACTCAGCAACAAGTAAAACATCGGTGTGTTTTCAGCACTGTTCTCAGACTAAAGCCAAAACACAGCACTGCACCAGCTACTGGGAAGAAGATTAACTATCCCAACTGAAACCAGGACAAGATGTTATCTTAGCATCCTATTCTCAAAGCTGGAAAAACAAGTGCAGTTGTTTTACAGTTCTTCCCTGCTAGTAATACAAGAAGGTGCTTATCTGCTTGGTAACAGGCTCTGTGGCTGTCTAAACTAACAGCTAAGGGGTCTTTGAAAGGTAGGGCTTCTGAATGTCTTAGTTGGGGAAGGAAAGGAAGTTCAAATTGTTGATCTAGGCATATTGGCAGTTTTATTGGGAGTTTGTGAGGAAGCTTGTATGTCTTAAGGGAGCAGAGTAGCTGAAATAGGCTTCTGGGGCTCCACCTTCCCATGTCTGCCAACTAGCGGAATGGTACAGGCAACAAGACACTGATGTCACAGAATTTTGCACAATTTAGCGTATTGACATAAGCTTTTTGTTACCAATTCTGATAATATGAAACAAACAGAAAACATTTCAGCTTTCCCCAACCATCTCTGCTCTCCCTTTGCTGGTCTCCAGTCCCCTCACCACACGTTGCAGCGGTCTTTTGAGTGAGGTCATGGCAGCCCACTGGGGCCAGTGTGTTCTTGCTGAGAACCTCAGGTAAGGGCTCCTCTGCAGGCTGCAGTCCCCTCAGAGGTATACGATCTGCCCGCTCTGTCTCTGCTCAGAGAGCACCTCAGGGCTGGAACCTGGATTGGGTGACTCCTTGTGTGCCTCCTCTTTCCAGCCTCCCTCTGGAGGCACACCTCCCCAGCAGCATCAACTCTGCTGCAGCATCCCTCCAGCCTTTCTCAGGCAGCTGCTCTTCTCTGTAGCTGTGTTGGGGAGGTCAGTGTGCTGTGTGATAGGCAGGGTTTGGTGGAGGGCAGTGTGTCGAGCCATCTAGGACCAGTTTTGCCTGGATTTGTGACCAGCTCAGGGGCATTCTCAGAGCGGGTTCCATGCAGCGTGCCCGCACCTACCAGCTGATTTCGTCAGTGGTGTGTGAGAGAAGATCAGTGTAGGCACTGGGGAGTAGCAGGAAAGATGAGGGTCTAGAAATTCAGCATGAATAGGTAATTTTGTGTTTGGCCACACAGCAGGTGGGATCAGAGAGGAGTGGGTAGTCACTTGGCAAAATTCTGGACACAAGGTTAATATTAAAATGACAGACTTACCAGCTATTCATACAGAGAAATTTTCTTGCAACTTTTTGGTTTTTTCTCTTATTTGGCATGTTTTGTCTTAGGAAGTCCTTCTGAGAGCCGTATTTTCTGTTTAACTGCTAAAACTGGCTGGACTGTTCTGAAAGCAGTATTTGTACTTTGCAGATGTTGCTTGTAACTGCTAGTAAGGGAAGTAGAAGGCAGGAGGGAGCTTGTGGCTTGGGCTTAAATCCAAAACCACTTCCTCAGTGGGGGAAAAATTAAGAGTTGGGGGCAGTTCTGCCAGCTTTGTTTGATGGAACTAATATTTAATAGTGTGATTGCTGTACACAATGCAATGGAATAATAATAAAAAAGTTATTTTGGCTTTACCTTCTCTTATTTCCATGCTTTTAATGTTAGCCTTTTTTTTTTTTTTTTTTTTTCTCTCCTCATGTTCTCAGGGACAGGATATTTGGCTCATTTAGGATTGATATCGTTCAAAACTGCAGGCAGTAGCATCACAAGTTGTACTCATCCAAAACCAACTTTCTTTCTTTAAATTGTATATAAGAAAAAAAACTACATTGCAGTATTTTTAGTGTGAAAAATAAGTTGCTATAGCATTAAAGCTTGAAAATTTATCTGAAAACACAATTTGAACTGAAAAGTGTGGAAATGAATGATGTATTTTAGCATGCTTGTAGTTCTAGTCAGGTTTCCTTAGCATGATGCTTTTTTTGTGTAACATACAGGTGGCAGAACACCTCTGAGTAGTGTTATTCGGTAGTTCAGGAAGGGATTTAGATTTCATTTTTGGTATTTTTATATTGAAGTCCCATTCAGCTGTTAACCCTCCTATCAAAGAAACTGCTCAAGAAGGCACTCAGGAGCCTGCTGAGGGGAGTGAAGAAAAAGCAGGAGCCAAAAGAAGAAAGAATTCTGTCCCAAAAGTAAGTGACTGAATTGATGCTTTTTTCTATCAGAAATGCTTTTAAGTCAATTGTATTGCCAAGTTTTAACTTGCATATTTTAATAGGGTTTTCCTGTTGTAACTGCCTTGCTCTTGCTTCTTTTCAGACATATGTACAGTAATATATTTGTCCTTTTAAGTAATATATATGTCTGTATATATACAGGCGTCCATATAGTAATATTTTTGCATTCCTTTTAAGATGCTGTACATGTTCTTGAAAATTAATTTCTTTACTGGTCTGTGTTGCCCAGACTTGAGCTTACCATAACTTAGGCTAAATTCCTACAGTACTTCCTAGTCAGGAGAAGGTAGAAACGATCACTAAGATTTAGCTTGAAGTTTTCCTTTCTGGTTTTGAAGACTTTTTAATACCATAGACAGGTATGACTGTCTTTTTCAATTATGAGGGTTTTTGTTGAAAATCCTAACAAAGCATAAGGTAGTCTGAAGGAGTGCTGCAGTGTATCTGCCTGAACAGATTGTAAGAATCAGTTATAAATAGGCCATATTCCTACTGGACGAATTAGGATATAAATGGCTATAAAGGATTTCATAGCTGTATCACTGAACTCTTGAGTCAGGAAAATATCTGTGAGTAATTGGTATACAGTAGTTTATACAGAGTTCAGCTTTTTTGCTTTGTAAATGTGAGCATACTTTAGAATACTTCTGAAGCAAGATTTTGTTATCTTAAATCTGTTGTATTCACAGTAAGAAAACACACTTGAGTCTGAAATAGCTTACTGATAACTGTACATAGTTCATACTGTAAGAGGTGAATCTTCTTAGCTTACTGTACATTTAGTGATACTAGTGTAACATACTGCTTTGAACTTTCTCTATCCTTTAATGCTTTGGTTTGTTCATGTGGGTTTATTTCTCTTATGGTGTGGAACAGATGTGTGTCATTTCTTAGTTTTTTTCTAAGGAAAATAGAATCCTAAAATGACAAAAATTGTGGTGCAGATGGGGCTGATATATTCATGGTATTTAATTTATTTCTAACTCATTTCTGGAAATTACTATTCTAGAGGATGAGCAGTGCCCTTAAATTGTCAAACTATTTTGAATAGACTTGCCTTGATTCTGATTGTTTTTGTTTTGATGGTTTGCCAAGTTTCAGTGTAGTTTTTCTAGCCAGGTGTAGTTGGCTGTCCTTTAGTACTGATTTACAGTTGCAACTGAAAAATTTGTAATGTGTTGGATACAGACTGGATGTTCCTTAGGTAGAATTATGTAGAATTAGTTAGAAATACTAACATATTACTAGCAGCTGTAATAGCTTCTTTTTTCAAGAGGAAAAAAAGACCTTTTAGTGGAGAAAAATTGTACTAGTAGTACGTAGGTACGTAGATTTTAAACTGGACTGGTACGTCAGTTTGCTTCACTGTGAATTTATGCAGCAAGCAGCATAAGGTAGTGGGAATGGCTGTGACACAAGCTTCATGCTTCTCATGGAATATGCTTTCAGCCTATCCGTAGCTGGCACTGTGAAAGAGAAACAGGAAGACGTAAGAGCCATTTAAACACAAAGATTGAATGGAAGATCCTGAATAGGTCTTTTTACATGGTTTCTATAATTAGTATTAATCAGTTTAAGGCAAAATATGGAGCAGATTTACTCCTTCTGATACTAATGTAGCAATAACATTTTAACTGGCCATTGTTCTCTAGTTTCCTGTGGGTTTAGTGTACTTGTTACCCTTCTGTCTTAAAGTTGTAATCTGTAAAAAGACTCCTGTGATACAACATGTCTTCAAGTAATTAGGAACATTGCCTCACAGCCTTGTGCCTGAGTTGCTTTGGTCAGTGTTGAAATTTGAGAACTGCAGCTGCATTAAAAAGGAATTTCACTGAAGGTGCTTGAAGATGCTTGCAGGTGGGGCAGTGCAATAGCATTAAAGTTGAGAGAGTGAACTGAAGATCTGAAAAATGTGCACATACATAGGCTGCAGGGAAATGTTGATTATTTTCAAGTAAATTAGTACAAACTTGATTTTTCAAATCTTAATTGCTCATCTAAAATGCAGACTAGTATTTTAAGCTTAAAAAAAACCAACAAAACAGGAAAAAAGGCATAGATTAGATGACACCAATTATCACTAATTACTATCTCATAAAGCAGCTTGTTTGTGGTCTGTTTACTACACTGTCTTTGTTTAGTAGAATGATATTCTAAGTTACGTGTGATCTGTGACTTGGATATCCATCTGTGTGTAATAGATAAACAGTGATCCATATGAATCTGGGGTGTTCGCATGAACACTTACAAGTACTCATGTAATATGGTGAATAAGTGTAGTTATGTTATCATGAACACAAAGTGAAATTAAAGTTCCACTATAGTACATTGCTGTATTTTGACTTGTTTTGACAACAGTCTGCAGTTGTGTACTGGAGAAAGGTGATCCTGCCTTTGGCTCTTAAGGTGTATTAAGAAACAAATGTATTTACAGACTTAAACTATTTAAAGTGAAAAGCAGCCTAATGGTTATTAGTGTGTTCTATTTTCAATATGAAATACTTTTTAATGCCTTTTTTAACTCTTGTGTTGTCTCCCTTTGCAGTTATCACTTAAAGAGGATAATAACTTGCCTACAGAAGCTGCAACAGAAGAAAAGGAGCTGGATACTTTGAAGGAAGATGATCTACCTCCTGAAAAAAACAGTAATAAAGAAGTATGTGAGAGCTTTTCCTATGTGCCAGAGAGCATCTTGATATTACATTGAGTGACATAAATCTAGTATCAAGTACTAAGAAGCGACCATTATTACTACCGTGGCAGTCTCAGGAGCTGTTTAATGATATAAAACTTCCTATGTTTTCACTTACATTTGTACCTCTCATTGAAGCTAACAGGAATTGAAGCTTTCATCAGAGAGAAAAATTTTAATCTGGCATGTCTGTAAATTCAATTAAAACATGTCTACATGTTTATTTAAAACAGAATATTACTTGGTACTTTTTTTTTATCTTTCAGAAAAAACAACCCTGATTACCACGTAATCAGGATTTTAACAATTTAAGAGCAGGAGGTGTCTTCCTATGTATTACAGATTCTTCCCTAAATTATGTGCTAGAGGCTTCATTGGGGAAAAAAGCTTAGAATCATGTAAGACACATCTTTGTCTTGCTAAGACTTAGCACTGTTTTTAATCTTCACAGGATGTGGTGAAAACAAATGATGCTTCTCATCCTAAAGTAGCTAGAAGAGGAAGAAAAAGAAAGGTAATACGTTTAATTCACCGTACTGGAATTTTTGGATGTGATGATACTGGATATTACTTCCTTTAATGACAGATTATGCGTAAATTGAAGTGCTTGACACCCTCCTTTCCCCCTTCAAATGGCTGAAAGATTTATAGGAATGAAAGTTTTCCCAGAGAGTGTTCCACAGGTCTTAATTCTGTCTGATCTTAACATAGAGTAGGGAGTTCCCATCTTTTCCCAAACAATGCACTGCAAGCAAGAGAAAATAAGATACAAAATGTTGCTAGACCACTTTTTTTTTTTTTAAATAGTGTATTTTAAAACTCTGAAAATTTCTTCTAACATACTCATCACACTGAGCTACTTCCTATCAAGACCTGTCCTTTCTTAAGAGGTTGGATTTTTGTGGTCTCTTCAACCTGGGAAAAATTTTATATAACTTTGAAAGAGGCACTTCTAGCTGCTTGCTTGGTGTGCTGCAGCTGTCATATTCATGTGGTCTCAGAGCAAGCCACATCAGGGCACTGACGCAGCTGAAAACTAGGTTAAAGTCAGGAAAATCTTTAATTTGAAACCATTTAACTTGTCACATTAGTGCTGACAGCAGGGATGGGATGAATGCAAAGTAACTGTGACCTTGGTATGTTTGTCACAGGTAAGTTGCATCACAAAGAAAGGTAGGTATATATTTGGATGGTCTTACAAAAATGTCTTGAATATTTAAAAAATACAATTTCAAGTATACCTTACTTAGAAAAGTAAGTTTTATGAGAACCTAAAATAAAATTCAAAGAGAGCTTCTAGTCTGAAACAACATCCTTGAAATTCTTGAAAAAATGTCTGTGACTATGCATATTTATGATTTCAGCTTGTAAATGGGAGAGAACGCTCACAGTTGATGCAGAAACACAAAGATCTCATTTCTTTTTCAAAAAGCACTCAAATCATATGGCTGTGGTGTGTTTTGTTTTAGAGGCTTTACGGCTTTTTTTTGCATCATAAAGTACTGCAGACCTAAAAAGTTTTCCTGTCAGTTTACTAGCTTTAGCTGACAGACTTTGGTTTGGCATCTGCTGTGTGCATTTGCATTGCTATAGGCTGTTGCTGAACAAAAACTGTATTTCGAGGGATGTGGTATGTGCTTGTAGGTTAGAAGAGAGTTGGCTATGCAGTTATATGACTTTGAATGTGTTTCTTACTTGCCTTAAGAAACATGGTGTTTTCTTTTACTGGGATTGTAAGAAAGCAGGTGTTTTTCTGTCTTCATTTAAACTCCTTCTGTTGGCTGGTGTGAAGCACAGTTAATAAGAGAGATGTACCTCTGCTCTGTTCTAGATAGAAGCCTGTCTCTGTTCTTTCAAATTATCTTTTATTGTAGGTGCCCACAAAGAACATGAAGATAAATATGTATTGGCCCATAACTTTTCTGTTGCTGTTAGCTTGTGCTCCTACATCCAGGACACTAAGCTCTGTAAATATTTTTTCCAGTTGGGATTTTTCTCAATTTTTTTTATGTGGATAGCATGTTTCTGCAGGAAGATATGTATCCTTTCATTAAGATTTTTCTTTTGTCTTAAGTTCTGTCTTTACACATGCCTCCTTCCCCCCAGTGGCTTTACAGATTAAGGTAGTTGTCTAGTTAGTGCAGTTCAGTGTACAGTTTTTTCACTGTGAATAACTGGCTATAGAACTAGAAGCAGATGGGTTGGTTGTTCCATTTTTTTTTTTTTTTCCTGAGTATCTGTGTCTACTGACTTGACACTTTAATGCAGCTGGAGAAGATGAGAGCACTTAAAACAGGAGTATTACTATATGGGGGGGGGGGGGGGGGGGAATATTAATTGCTTAAGACTGGGTTTTGGCATGCTGTTACAGTGATCTCAAAAATACTTACCAATAATCTTTCTCCTTTGTTGCATCAAGATAGTTTGTTTTGAAAATTAATGGGCTGGTTGAAATTGCATAAAATGTATGAATGAATGGGTAGTGATGGGATGTAGATGGGGAAATTAGTGACATTCCTAACAAACTTGTCTTTCTCATGTGTAGAAGCAATAGCACAATTTCTAAAAGTTTAAAACTGTTGTTTGAGAAAGTAATTGATGAATTGGCACCCTGCGATTTTTTCACTTGTGAAATCCTTTCTTCAAATTAGGCTGAGAAACAACCTGAAGCTGAGGAAGTGGCAGCAGTGGCAACAGCAGGAGGAGCAGTGACAGCAGCAGCTCCTGGGCCAGTGTCTCCAAAAGTAAGCCCTAAGAGAGGAAGACCATCAGGTAACTTTAAAAGACAGATTTATTTCTTTTCACCACAGAAATATCTTCGAATTATTCAGAGAGCTATCACTTTCCCCTGAAGTACTACAGAGTATATTCTCATGCTAAATGCAGTCTTTGCTAAACACCTCCTCTCAAACTGATGAATTTAGAACATAAATGGATTTGTTAGCATTAATGCTCAGTCCTCTAAATAAGACAAATTTTTGAGTACAAGTGTCACCTTTAGAAAAGCTTTCTTCATGGAATGGTACAAAACTATAAATATACAATAAGAGATCTTTGTGCATTTTTGCTCCATTAATTAAGACCTTAATGGAGGTACTGTTAAAGGTCTATGAAATACTTTGTGTTAGAATATCCGTAAAACGGAAGAGAACTGGAGGAATACAGAGCCTGCAGGTGGAACTCAGAGGACAGTACAAACAAAGAACCGGAGAGACTTGTTTAAAAAAGTTTTAAGGCAGTCTGTGTAGATTGGTAGACAAATGAAAAGAAGGTATAACTGCTTCTTTTTTTTGTGTGGTGTTTTCTTGTTGGGTGTTTTTTTTGTTTGTTTGTTTTTCCACATGTATAATTAGAACCATTTGATAATTCTCCAGTGCTTGTTTCTTTCAAAGTCGTAATGATCTAATTCATTGGAATTTTTGTGGTAAGCTTGCAGATATTCTTGAACTAATCATTAATGACTTCATCAGAGAACAGGTTTTGCAGCAGTTAAGTACATTGTGTGAGCATCTAGTCTGGAAAACAAATAATTTATACTTATCTGCATCTGCTGATGATATATGAAAGTAAATTTTAGGAAGTGCAGCCACAGTGCACTAGACTATATAACTTTTGCCTTGGAAGCTGTGAGGAAATTCAGTATTATTTCAGTTCCTCCTCCCACCCTCCATTTCACTACACGTACTAAATGTACATTTTTAATATCTGTGTGGGGTTTTTTTGCAGTTCTTTCAGTTTTTACTAACTACTGTCTGTGAGAACAGGCAAGGATCTGTAAGAGATGCTTTCATCTCCTGTATAAAATACCTTTTTGTAAAGTGTACTGTGCAGCCTTTTCTGATGTTGATGTTATGCAGGCATCTCTTACTTAACAGTGCTTTATGGTAACATGAACCGGAGTTTAAAAAGCGAGTATGAGGTTTCCTAACCACATGTTCACTGTAATGTCAGACAAGTATTTAAAGGATATAAGTGCCAGAAAGGCAGATACACTGTTTGTCTTACTTTTAACAATAAGGTGAGTCTGAGGAAATAGAAAAGTTTGCTCTGTACTGTAGTGTGGTGGTAGAACTTCTTAACAGTGGTTTGTTATCAAGAAAAGCAATGGAAGCCTTATGATACATCTAAAAGTAATGTAAAAAAGTGATGGAAGCCCTTATGATGCATCTAAAAGGCAAACAGACTGCGTAAATGTGGACACTAAATTACTTCTTTCATTATTTAAGTTTAGTCTTTCTCATTCTCTAACTTGAAGCTTGTTTATATTAGTTATGCAAAACACAGGAACAAATCCTAATTGCACAGAGGGCAAAACCCACAAGAACTGGAAGTTGGAGCCTGTGGCTAAAAAGCCACCAAATTTTTTAATTTACCAATCAGCTAAAAAGCCTCTAATTTTTTTCAAAGAGATCTTGATTAAAGTTTGTTATTCACTTAACACTTGAATTTTGTATAATAACAAAGTTAGGTTATATGTTTTAATTTAAGTGTAACTTCTGTCTGTTGAGCACAAGTCTTTCCTTATATATGAGGAGCATATGGTGGCTGTGGACTAACCTGTTATTTCTGTATAAATATTAGCGTCTGAAGTAAAGGTTCCAAAACCAAGAGGGAGACCTAAGTTGGTGAAACCATCTTGTCTGTCAGAGAGTGACTCGTGAGTTGTTCTGTTTTGTTTCCTAATATAAAGCTTCTTCATTGTATATAGTATTGTTCCTTATGTTAAGACTTCATAATTAGTACTGAGTTCCTGACAGGTTTTTTTTCCCCTTTAGTATTTAGTATGAGTTACTATTTATGTTGATTTTGTTATTCACAGCTTAAGTAATATGTAATTCAAGGAAGTACAATTCTGGAACAGGAGAAGATTTTAACTTTCCTAATCTGTAAAATCTGTGTAAAATTCCATATAGAATTGTATTATGCTTGTTGAAAAGGAAAAGACAAAATATATAAAATGAAAATACTGAATTCTTTTGTATTTTTGTTTCAGAAATCCATTCTAATGGAATGCCAACACTGTTTTTACCTTCTTAATTTCTTGTGTCAAATCCTCAGTGCTTCTAATAACTGAGGGAGTGGCTGAGCATTAGTGTAATTTTCCATAGATAGATGCACAGTTTCAGTGTATCTACACTTTAAATAAGCATATTTCATAAAGCTAGTTTACTGTGCATGTGCTCTTGGTCCTGCAGAAACATGTGTGGGAAGAACAGAGCATTAAATTCTTGGGTTTGGATTTATACACGTAGATTAGTGTTAGCTTCATTAGTGCCTCTTTAAGAAGAATGTGATGTTTTAATGTTTTAAACTCACTGTAGGTAATGGATACGATGTCTAAATCTGTTCATGTTTTAGTGTTAATGAGGATGAAAAGCCAAAGAAAAAAGGACCAGAAGACAAGCCCAAAAAGCAAGGGAAAAAAGATGAGGAAAGTCAGAAGGAAGAGGAGAAATCAAAGAAAGAATTTGACAAAAAGGAAGGAAAGAAAGAAGCTGAACCAAAGAGGAAGAATGCTGCAAAAGTGGGTTCTGCATCAGCTTCCGATTCTGAGGATGATGGAGAAGAACAAGAAGGTGACAAGGTACAATTTTGCTTTCCTGATATATTTACTATAGGGGAAATTAGTATCTGAAGATCTTTCTTTAAGTTAATGCTCAACCTTAGTAAAGGTTGAAGACCTGTGTCTGGTTAATATAGATACATAGAATAAAAGTTGCGGAACTTCATTTTGTCAAGTAAGTCAGGAATTCATTTCGTGTTATCTAAGCATCTTTTCTAGAATACTTTACTTTTAACGAAGGATCTAAATGTAGCAGTTATTTTGTCAAAAGGCTTTTTACATCTATGTTCCTTAGAATGCAGACTTTTTTTTTCCTTGGGTATACCTAAGAATATTCGGCTTGAAATCAGGTTTTTGAAAGGTATAAAGCTGTTCCTAGCAAGTCATTGGAATATCTTCATTTTTCTGGTGCATAGGATATTGCCTTCTATTAGAAAAGGAGAAAGGGAGAAAGAGCTAAAGAAATTCAGAGCTTACCAACATGTGGAGATCTTCTATTTAGTTTCAGGGAAAGCCAGCTTGTGTGAGGTAGTATGTCAGAGCAGAATTGCTTCGAAGATAGTGTACATAGCTTTATCTGTTACAGAAACAATGATTTAATAATCTTGATTTTTCTCTTTCCAATCCTAAAACCTAAAATAAAAACAGAAGAAAAAAGGGGGAAGAAGCTTTCAGGCAGCTCATAGAAGAAATGTTGTAAAAGGCCAACATGAAAGAGAAGCAGCAGAAAGAAAACGTAAGCAAGAGGAACAGACAGAATCTGAATCGTGAGTATGTTTTAACATGTGGTGTCTGCAAGTTATCTGTAAGTTTTGGATCCATTAGACTGAGAACTGGTAGGATGTATTAGTCCATAGTTACGGATTTTTGATCATGTTGTGGAATGCATAGGGTTACCTGGAAAACATTTCTTTGTCTGGCTGCGGAAGCTTGTGCTGTCAGACAGAACAAGGGAAAAAATTGAGAATTATTCTACTGTAGCACCGCAAAGCCATTAGAGGGATACTGGGCGCAGTCTGCATTTGTCAGATAAATCGCCACAAATGAATCATGCATGAGAATGGAAGAGATCTTGTCAGAAACCGAGGGGGAGGGGGGAGGAGGTTTGGGACAGTAGGAGTAAATCTGACTCGTTCTCAAGAGCTGTTTTGCCAATGAGTGAAGAAGCTGCCACCATGAGAGCATGATGATTGTGTCCCCCAGGGTGGGGCATGAGGCAGAAGAAAGGAAGCGCAAGGTAACAATTCAGAGAAAAAGGGGTAGGACAATGGTCCTCTTCGCCATTTGCACAAGAAAGTTCTATTTTTCATGTTCATTAACAAGAATTAGTATGGGGTTTTTTATTCTCTAGCTCTTCCTTCTCCCTGTCACTCCTCTGGAAACAACATAATTACTCTACTTGCCTATAGCAAACCTAAGCATTTCCAACTCCAGAGATACTAAACTGCCCTCAGCATCTTTGCAGCATAATTTATCACTAAATCTGACATAGGCTGAATGTTTTTGCAATCAAACTGTCATATACTGATGTGGTTGTAACAATCAAGCCTCTACTTTTAAATAGCTGTCATTTCATGTATTGGAGGGATGCGTAGAGTTTTGTTTCAGTAAGATAAAGGAGTAGTACCTAATGAACGCATAATGAATTCAATGATGACTAATACCACAAAACTAAATATTGATTAAAAAGTAGAAAGATTTCTTTTTGTGCTGTCTTCAAGTTCCTCTGCTAATACACTGAATATAGCTGATAGCCCTTTCTTTTTCATTACTTTTCTCATCATCACAGTTCCCATTTTTTGGTCTTGTAACTACTTCATTAGTACTTATATAGGTCTTAATACTGGTGCTTTGTACACCATTGTGTATATACACACAGTTTACATGTACCACTTAAATGGTGTGGGCTTGTGCTGCTTGTTGAAGTAAAATAGTCATACAGACTTTAAAACTGTTGATTCTGTAACTGGATAGAGTATGAAAGGAGAATGGAAGATGACAGGCATGCCTGCCTGGATACTTCGTGGATGCTTGTTACTCTGAAGGAGTGGTGAAATAGTAAATTCTAAAAGCCTTCAGTAAGACAAGACTGAGGAACTGCTAAACAGGGGTTCACAGTCTTCTCTGAATAGGGTTCAAAAGCTTGGTTGAAAGACTGTCAAATAGTTTTAGTCTTCTTCATTGTAATAAAAATATTTTCTTTCTCCATAACTTACTCTGTACAGTGCCATTTAACCAATTTGTACATGCAACTAAAACAAAATAGAGTTTGGAAATGTGACTTGTTTTTAAAACATCATCTGCTGCTTCTGGGGAAAACTGTCAGTATGGAGGATTTATCAGCAGTATCTCAGCTAACTAATCTTGTTAACTTATTTCAGTCTTTGGAAACCAGAACTTGGCTTTTTGTGGCTTTTGCATGCTAATACCTCAAAACATCACATCTTCTTTAAAAATTAGGGGAGGGAAGATGGAAAAGCAGACTTTATGACCTTATAAAAACACTTTAATGTTTTTGATAGGCAGAATAAAGAAGAAGGCAAGAAAGCAGAAGTTAAGAAGATGGAGAAGAAGAGAGGTCAGTTTAGCTTCTTTGGACTGCTTTTTGGTTATCTTAAATTTTGAGCAAAATTATCTGCCTGCATAAGACAATTTACTGCTGAGGGTGTCTGTGGGATCTCAGATGTTTGATCCATGGCTGTCCTTCAGGTCTGTGAAACAGCAAATTCTGTGTTTGTTCTTTCTTCAGTGCATATGAACAAGTCTTTGCTATTCCCATTTTATTGTCATTCAAGCTAATAAACCTTGATGATCCCTTCTGGTTGTGAACAAGATACAAAAGTTCTTATTCTTTGAACCAAATCTCTTTAGTTCTTTTTTGCCTTCTGTCTCCTCACAACACAATAATCTAAGTGACCTTTTGGGAGTATTTTGGTACTACCTCTTAGTAAGCAGGAGGCTTCCTAAGCAAGAGGCTTTGATTCAGATTAGTCTAGCCTTGTCTACTAAACCACTCTTGCAAACTGACCTTCATAGGGATAAATCATTCCTTTTTTAGTACTCCGACCTTTAAGGACAATCCAAACCACTGGCTGTAATTTGTAGTGTAGTGCAGATCCAGTGGCAAGGACTCCAACCAAACCAGTATTGGTGGGGGGTAGAAGTTACCAAACCCATCGAGGACAGATTGGACTTGAAGGAGACTCTGTTTGCTTGCAGCATTTTTCAGAATACATACCACTTGTGTATCGAAAAAAAAGAAAAATCCAAACAGCCATTCAGCATCTGAATTGGAGACGGACATGTTCATACATCAGTCACTCCTCCTGGAGCATGTGTACTGGGAGCGTTTTATTTGGATGGATTTGGACTCTTAACTTGAATTATGTCCAATTTACTGAAAACAAACCCATCAATACCCAGGTGTCCAGTCATTAAAGGTTTTCCAGCTTTTAACTCTTAGTGTTTAGTGAAACTGATAACCTGGCCCACAGGTAGAGGGTGACAGCTGTATATTGAAGTAGAAAATTATGTTCGGTTTGTAACTCCTAAGAAGAAAACTGTAGGTTGCTAATAGTGTTCAGTTTAAAAAAGCTGTGTACTTTGTTTCTAATGGTAAGCCCTGTGGTTTGTTTATGTGTGCACTTGCATCATTATCTGATGTGGAGTGCCTTCCCATATTTTTCTGCATTCTGTGTGAAGTTCAGGTTTGTAGAAAGGTTTCTGTAAAAACAGACCTCATGTGATTATCAAATATTCATGCATGCTATTTCTAATCTTCAGAAACATCAGTGGATTCTAGGCTTCAAAGGATACATGCAGAAATTAAGAATTCCTTGAAAATTGATAATCTTGTAAGTATATATTTTTTAACTGATTTATGTGTATAATTATGGTAGGGACTACTTGATACTTGGCATGTGTGTTTGTTTTTAATTATACTGAGAATGAATGCAATTTTGTCAGTTTGAAAGATAACTGCTGCTTAAATGAGGTTACTATGGACATTAAAAGATCAAAGTCGGCAAGAAAAAATTGTTTTGTTTGGAAATACTGCATAATAAGTTATTTACCTGAAACATTCAAATAGAATTCTGTTAAATGAAGCATCTGTGCTAGCTAAGCCTGAGCCATGCAGCAGTACCAGAAGGGCACAGTGACTGTAGCAGTGGTACACTCTCTGAAGGAAAGGGAAGGATTGAACCATCCTGGTGTCTCCTTGAAGGGGCAAAATGGGGATTATACAGCAATCCTGGAAGCTTCTGGAGCATGATAACTTCCGAATACATCATTACTTCTAGGTATACTCCATAGCCTGTCATTTGTCAGAGTTAACTGAGAAATCTACAAAGATAAAGTTCAGTATATTAACTGAAATCCACTCAAGGTGGTTTGCTACCCTTTCAGTGGCAGGTCATTTGGAAAAAATCATGTATGGAAAAGGCTGATGACAGGGAATAGCTTCAAGTACAAAAGTACTACAATTGTGAAAACAGCATAAAGCTCCAGCTTGTATTTTGAAAGTGTAAAATTATTTTTAAAAATTGCTTTTTGTTAGGGAAGTAGCTGAAAGGCAACTGATGGTCATTTTTATTTGCCAGTTTGACTGTACAGATAGTTCCAAAACTGCACACATAGTCAAGCTAAGGATATTATAGCAAGGTATCTCTGCACAAGGAAATTAATTTAGTATCGCTAATTAAAGACTATTAACATGCAAGTTAAGTCTTCAAACTATCTTGTTTATGTACAGGATGTGAACAGGTGTATTGAGGCTCTAGATGAGCTTGCATCCCTTCAAGTCACAATGCAACAAGCTCAGAAACATACAGAGATGATTCTGACTCTAAAGAAGGTGAGATCTGCAATGTTAATCAGAGTAACCTTTGTTTTCTTAAATTAGTATCACCACTATTTACTACTGGAGTACTGTGTCCAGTTCTGGTCCCTACAATTCAGGAATGGTGCAAACAAACACGAGAGGGCCCAAAGAAGGGCCATGAAGATGATCAAAGGGCTGGAGAACCTCCCCTGCAAGGAAAGACTGAAGGGGTTAAGTCTTTTCTTCCTGGAGAAGTCTTAGGGAGGGAGGGTTTATCACAGTATTCCATCACCTAAGGGATAGCTACAAAGAGTATGGAGGCTCTCCCTCCCTTCACATGGAGCCATGTGGAGAAGACAAGGAGCAGTAGGTACAAGTTGAACTGGGAGAGGTTTTATCTCAATACAAAATTTGTTTTTACAGTGAGTTCAATCTTGCACTGGAACAAACTCCCCAGGGACATGGTGGAGTCCCCATCACTGGAATATTTAAAGCTGCAGTTGGAAAGGATGCTTGATGACTTCATGCAGGCTCCTTCTCCTACAAGGGCTGTTGAAACATTGAAACAGATGATGTTTGGAGGTCTCTTCTAATCTGGGCTGTTCTATGAGTCTGTGATAATCAGAGAGTGTAGAAGACCATGATCTCATTTCAGGTTTAATGAAGACTTTCATCTAGCACATGATGAAATTACATGGGTAAATTCCAAAGTGGAACTTGTGATTTTATTACTTTGATTTCAGATACGGAAATTCAAAGTTAGCCAAGTTATCATGGAGAAATCTACAATGCTGTATAACAAGTTCAAGACCATGTTTCTGGTTGGGGAAGGAGATTCTGTTCTTTCCCAAGTATTAAATAAATCGCTTGCTGAGCAGAAGCAGCACGAAGAAGCCAACAAAACCAAAGAACAGTGGAAGAAAGGAGCAAACAAAAAAATGGAAAAGGAAAAGGACCAAACAGGTAAGTCACTGTTGCTTTTAGGTTCTTGTCATATAAAAGACCTGCTTTCCATTGATTTTTTTGAGCCAGCTTAAAGAAAACTGTTGATAGAGGAATTGTACCCATCTGTTAAAACATAGGATAACTACAACTTTTAAATTCAAGGGTTCATATTTTCCATGGCTATTTTACCTTTATTGCCTGAAGACGGAGGCTTTTGCAAAAATTTATTTTAGCATTCTTGTACTTTGTAAATTTTCTAACTTTTTTACCTTGTACAATTTAAAAACAAAAGAGGCAGAATAGCAAAGCACCTTCTGTTCCTTAAGTAGTCTTCTGGTGCCTAAACTTCCAACTTTGCTTTAACTGCTTCATTTCCTTCACTAGCCTCTTCCTGTATCATACATACAACTATGTGTAGCAGCAGCTTCTAACTACTTACTATGTCTGTGATGCAACTTTAATAGTTCAGTGTAACAGTAAAGAAACAATCATCATTTAAGGGAGAATAGGCCTTTATACCCTTAGTAGTACTATTGCAGATTAATCATGAGCACTTGCACAAGTACAGCATGATTTTGAAAGCCTCCCAGAGTAAGAATGGTCTGCAGTAACTTAGCTCAGTTATTAAACGAAAAAAGAAAAGCAAAAGAAATGTAGAAAATAGATACTTGCATTTTTAAATAGAGGAACAAAATGAGAGAAACAGTGGGAAGCTGTGTGGCAAATGAATTTATATCCTTGAAGATGCAGAAATTCTATCCACCTTGATCTCCACACACACTGGAAGGAAATTATATTTACTTCGAACTTGAATCCTTGGAGCGTTTCAGGAAGTAGTTTAAAAGTTACACCAGCTGGGTCTGGAATAAACAAATTACTGTAACTGTGGTGATGGAGGATAATGAGGATTCAGAATAACCACAGTTGAAATGCCACTGTATTTGTAACTGTAAGACAACAAGAAAGATGATAAGATCCAACCATTCTGTGGTGAGGGAAGTATGTATGATATAGTAGAGGTTCCCCACAGGTAATTCCCTGACTTGGTGATCAACACAGCTAATAACACTTCAGTGAAGGTACTCCACATAAGGTTAACACTAAACTTCAAAAGAACACCCTGAAATACCATATTGTTGCCTACTCAAATGGAGAATGGTAATGCTTTATGAAAGTAGGGGGATATTTCATGGAAGTGGGGTTTTCTTTATTTGCTGCAAAGAGAAATTTTGGTTCCTTAAGTTTGTGCTTTTGCCTTTTTAAAAATGGAACTACTGAACTCTCACTGTCTCTACAAAGCACAATTACAGCATGTTGTACTTCAGCTGAAGTACAGCTTCAGACTGTCTGCTTCGTAACAAGGAATTAGAATCTCGTATCAAAATGATCTTGTTTGGGTTTTAGCATCTCTTAGCCTGCAGGTACTCAGATGAGCAGTGTCCTTGTGGTTTTGTTGAGTTGTTGTTGTTGTTTGGTTGGTTTTTTTTTCTGTACATGATAGTTGAATGGAGGATTGGCAGTTTTTTGTAAACCTGTAACTTCAAGTAAAGTGGGAGTGACTTAGTGACATTCCTTGGTAATTCATTCAAAATTCACTGGTTTGTAATACTAGAGCAAGACATGTATTCATTACAGAAATCTTAAAGAGTTTAATATTCCTGCTTTGACTTCATGAAGTACAGCTTGTACATACTGCTTTGTTTTCCTGCTTGACAGTTGCATGCTGTAACTTAACGCTTTTACTCTATTTTATAGATACTGTTTGTCATATCCTGGTTATACGCATATTTGTTAAGAGTTGAAAGTAAACAAAAATCCATGCAACTAGTAACTCCTCCAATTACCCACCAAAATTGTCTGACCAGGTTAGAGTAGAAAACGGAATTTACTCCTGAAGCATAGTCTCTCAGTGCTCAGAATATATATAAACATTAGTCCTATTACCTGTAGCCTGGCAAGCACAAGAACTTGAAATTGCATGGAATATATATACTGTTTATTTTCCCATTGTTAAAATTCTGGTATGAAGCTCACTACATGGAATTTTTGAGATTGACGTATAAGTTACTGCTTTCTGTATTGTTTCAGCTGCTGAGCATCAAGGTGAGGGGAAAACATTTATAGTGCTTGAGTTGACAAAGTTAAATTATTTCAGGCTTTTTGTAGCAGAGCTTGTGCTGCCTGCAGTACTGTGTTCTTTCCCTGCCCTTTCATTTTAAAGGTCCAAAGGTTCTGAATGGAGGGTCTGAAGCTCAAGACACCAGCCAGTCACAACAAACTGGAGAGAATGCTGAGGACAAGAAAGATAGGCATGAAGTTGGCAGTAAGAAAAAGTGAGTTAATAACCTTACTGAGCCAGGGATCTGTTCTGCTCTAGCAAAATGTAAAACAGAACATTATTTTATTTATTTACTTAACCATGCTGAGGTACTGTTTTCTTCACAGAGTTTTCTCTCAACTTCAGAGAATGATAATAGCATGTGAATCTTGTGATAAGGTTTTGAGTGAGCTTCACTTACTGCTACAGTGAGACTTTAAAAAATGGCATGATGTCCTGCTAGGACAGAACCTGCATGTCACATGGTGAAACAGGGCAAAGTATAAGCTTTTTCCTGTATCTTAGACTATTTGATGCTATTAAGTTGGAAGGAAAGAAGCCTTGAGCCAGGTCTTACAGAAACTAATGGGATTTATCAAGTTTTTTATGAAATCATATATTTTAACCAATAGTCAAGCCATCTTAATTAGTGTTCTATAGCGTTGCTATAGATTTGCCCAAAAGCAGATAAACTGTAGGCTTGAACTTTTAGACTGGTGAAATCTCAGGACTGTGAACGCTTCAGAGAGGCTGATGCATTTACCTTCTCTGTAAGGATGCTTGAATTGTCAGGAGGTGTAGGTACTTAAACTTTAACCTCACTGAAAAATAATGGTTTGCAAAGAACAAGCAATGAATCTCTTATGGAATATGAGAAGTACTTAACAGAATTCAGTACACAATGAGGAAAAGGCCTACAATTATCCTTGACCTGAATTGCTTTGTTGAAGTACCACTTTGTTTTGTCTGAGTAGTTCTGCAGCCTTATTGAAGGAAGCTCTCTATTCATCACAGTCTTCATGCAGGCCAGGAGGAAATGCAGTTGCCTGATGTCATGGTTTAACCCGCTGGTAACTCACACCATGCAGCCATTCACTCACCACCTCTTTTATCCCCCTGTGTGGAAATCAGGACACCTGGTGTTCTCTTGGCTGCCTGCTGAGTTAAAACTGTGCAAATAAGTTGAATATTGACTGCTGTTTACAGTGAGGTAAAATTGAACAGAACAAAACAAAAAATCTCCTGCAGATGAAAATGAATGCAGTATTTGCTGAGAGGCAGCCTCAGAGCTGCTGAGTACACAGCTTTCAGAAGTGACATTTGGGAATCATTTTGTCTGAAAAGTGTTGTGGGAACATAATGAAGGCACAAGCATAGCTTCCTGGTACAGCTTACAGAGTTTAGCACACTGCTTAAATACGTTATTTAGCCAGGTCATGTCATGGTACTAAGAAGGGGCAAAACCCAAGTTACTTGAAATTGCTAGCAAGGCAGTAGCAATAGAATATACTTGACCAAGTATTTAAAAATACCTGACTACTAAACCAGTTCTCCAAGGTAGAATTTTTTTCCATGCCTTGCTCCTTTCCTTGTTCCTGCAGAACATGACAAACGTGAGGATTATTGAGTGGCAGAGAGACAGTCTCAGTCTGATGTTCTTTATGTTTATGATTTAAGAGAATTAGGAATATTTGGGTGTATACATGGCACCTCAATGGACATTGGTCAGAAGAAACTCAAGGCAGATACTTTCAGTTGTGCAACATGCTTGGTAAAGGCTGTTGACTATAAAAAATGTTTCAAACAAACAACTTTGAGGCAAGACAATTTATATTCTTAAAACTTCAGTAACTGTGATTTTTATCTGTAAAACCTGCAAGTATAACCTCCACGAATGAGGTAGTGGGGGTGTCATATTCTGCTAAAAAATATTTATGTCTTTAATTGTGTGAGGTGTTTGCTACAGCCTTCAGCTCGACACTCCAGCCCATTCTTCCACTTTCCTAAGCAAAGAAACAAGCCCACTTTATGAGTTACTTCTGTGTTGCTGCTTGAGTGCAGTTGTACTCATTGCTGCCTCTCAGCTGTAGATTCCTCTTGCAAATACCCTGCATGTTAAGAAATGCATCCACATACCTGTACTAAATTCAGGCAAGCTACAGACTGGCGTCTGTCCATCAGACAAACTTCCTTTTATTCAGTATTTTTCATACATTTTTATTTGCAGTATTCTGTTTCTTAGAAGGGAGAAACCAGTAACCAAACTAAGTTATGAGCACATCGTTAATGTTCAAAGCAAGATGGTACTTAAGAGATTTTGGAAGACGGCAGTTGTTTAACATAATACTTTTAAAGTGATTGGCACTTAAGAACATCTTTCTGTTCTCATCTGGTAAAAATACATACTGATTCCAGAGGATTATTCCCAGCTACTAAGCAAAGTTACAATTGGTAGGGTACATTACACTGGAGTGCTTCTCCTTGTGCTGACCAGCAGAGAAGGGAGGACTGCCTGAATGGAACAAACTTCTTAAGGACTGCCTTTCACAGCTAGTCATACATCAGTGTGATTCATGTTAATTGCTGCCTGCTTAGATTTGCATCTGGGTGGTGGGGCAGTTGCCTTAAGAATACAGCTGGCACCTCCATGTGCTTCGGACCTTCAGGCTCCATCTACTGCTGCATGTGCATCAGCATCACTTGCTCCAGACTGCACAAGCGTGTCTGGAGTAAGTCTTGCTCTCTGCATTTTTATATGATCATTGATGCTGCTTTATTTTGTTTCTAGGACATGTGGTGAAGAGAGAGAGCTTGAAAAGTCAGCAAAGGATCCTGCCTTTGAAAGCAAATGATACCAGTCCAGTCTTCTTTTTTTTTTTTTAAATACACATTAAAGAGGATTGTTAAGTTTTGCATTTGAAATCTATAGACTGCTGAAAGTTCTAAGTAATTTTATAAGCATAGTATTTTAAAGTTAAATTTTGTGGAATAGAAATCTCTTTAATCATGGTTTAAAAGTATTTAAACACTTTTGCCAATAGTTTTGCCCAGTATTAACAGGTAAGACATTTCGATAGATGAAAATTGGTTAGAAGACAAATGCTTACATGTTACAGGACTTATAGTGGTAGTATATTTTTACCTGACTACTGTATGTTTGTCTAGGTAACAGCAGGGAAAAGTGTAAATACTTTTAACTGCCCACTTGCTTCATTTGTATAAAACTTGTCTTCCTTCCTATGAAACTGACCTCTGTTTGTGCATAGTTTTTCAACTCTTGTTGGGATGTCTTTTCACTGTGTTTTGTAGGAGTTGGAAGCAGCTTTTTTATAGCCGTTAAAATGTTAATGTATGAGTTAAGTATACTTAATCACCTTTTTTAAAGAAGTTTAGTTCTGTTCTTGCAAACTTGTTGTGCCAATTTACTGCAATGTGACTTTATGGTATGCTTTTGGTATAATAAGTATACTAGAAAGAAACATAGTGTTCCTACAGAACCTGTAGGATTCACATTGGTTAGAACAGTCTTAAACACTTTATGAAATTAAAGAATTTTAAGTTGATAAGGTTTATATAGACAGGAACATATAGAGGAATGACAGGTGTCTGGGTGTAGTTCTACTTTGGTTTTATTGCCTTGGCATTAACTTGGGGATTTTGAACTTGCATTTTAGCAGAAACACTGGTGGAGTATGTTAAGAACAACTCCTAAAGGCACAAAAAGGAAATGTAACAGCTATAACGTCCTCTGAAAATTCTTTCTTGAAACATATGCTTTGCCTAACATCAGAACTAGAAGTAGTTTGTATGTGACTGAAAAACAATATTTGACAGAGGCCAGCTAGGTTAGAAATTAAGAGTTTAATAATTCTGACCATCTTGTTATGGGGATATTAGGGGAGATGAGGGTGTTCCAGGTGTACTGATCACCTCGTATTGCATTGCCTTCAAGGCAGGAACAGAAGATCAGGATTACAGCCTGGTACAGACCAGTACTTTTAATTCATACTGTTCGACAGCGAAGAGTTTCAGTACTGCAGCACAACCAAAACAGTAGCACATTGCAGCCTGATATTTCTGGTTGACAGGCCTTGTAAATTGCAGCCCACTTGGGTTTGTTTTCTTTTGTTCTCAGCCAGGGTACTATGGGGAAAGGGATTTCTCATACTTTAAAAATAGAGGGGGTTTTCCCATTTCAAGTGCAACAGCTCGGTACAACCTTCACTTCCGTTTGCAGTTCTGCACCTGTAGTAGTGCTAAGCAGCTGAATGAACAGTTTATGAGAAAAAGCAATTTCAACACTTAGTACTATTGTTACAATCAGGTAAGGGTCAGTAACTTCAGCACTCCTGTGTTTCCAGAACCTGAAAGTGACAGATTTATCTTCCTTTTTTTCAAATTATTATTTATCTCCTATGCATACAGGCTGAGAGACTTGTGCTTCTTCAGCCTGGAGAAAGCTCAGGGGAGACCTTATAACAAGTCTTCCAATACCTAAAGGAGGACTACATGAAATCTGGAGAAGGGCATTTTACAAGGATATGTAGGGACAAGATAAGATGCAATGGCTTTTAACTGACAGAGGGGAGATTTAGGTTGGACATTGGGAAGAAATTCTTCCCTATGAGGGTGGTGGGACATTGGCACAGGTTGCCCAGAGAACCTCTGGATGCCCCATCCCTGGCAGTGTTCAAGGCCAGGCTGGATGGTGCTTTGAGCAGCCTGGTCTAGTGTGAAGCGTCACTGAACATGGCAGGGGGTTGGAACTGGATGATCTTCAGGTCCTTTCTAACCCAAACCATTCTGTGATTCTGTGAAACTGAGAATGTTTTTTTCACTGAAATCATGCACTGCTATGAAGTAACTCCTCATTCTCCATATGCCAATTCTGAAAATATTAAAACTTCTTTCCCTAGTACTGGTCTTTTTGCTGCCTTTGTTTGCATGTGTTCCTGTGTTCCCCCTGCACCACCACTCCCCCCTTCTTCCTAACAGACAAGATTAGTTTTAGGATCACAGCCTCCCTTAAAACTTGAACAGTTTCAGTAACAACAACATCCTTACTTTGTGACCAGAGACACAGACAAAAGGGATGAAAAGCCTGAAACCAGAACTCTGATACTCATTGAACAACCAGTATTAAGTTTATTGTGGTCAAAACTGCTGTTCAGTCATCCTTGCTACTTTGAACTAGTTACGTTTTTTTTTGTTTTTTTTTTTTTGGTAACTTGCCAGAATCCATGACGGTGAATGTTTGGTTTTTTGCCTGCCAAATGTGCCACTCCTCCAGAGGCCATGCATGGAACATGCAGTCACTAGACACAAGCTGCTGCTAATGCCTGGTTGAAGTAGTCTGACCAACTTTTAACAGTTTACATAGTGGTACACCCAGATAATGTTAGCTGTGTCTACAGGCTGTCCTTCAGCAGAACCCACCGCATTTATTTTTGGTCTCAATAATCTGTAAATTAGCTATAATGTTGAGGCAGGGTCAAAGGTTTAGTTAACATGAGAAGGCCAACAGAGGAAGAGTACTTACCTTAATGTTCAACAGCAATATTCACTGGGAGCCGAATTTATGGCACCAGTTTTGCTGCATTTGTACAGCAGACTTAGGAGCAGATGGCATGCTGACTATACTGAGTACTTATAAGCTTTATCCATGCAAGCATATTTTTGTTACCACTATGCTATAATTCATACTGATAGATAAAAGCACATGTATGCATGTGCACTGATCTTTGCAAACACATGGCTTATGCATGCTTACAAAAGGGCACTGCCTTCCTGCCCACAGCTGCAAGCAACCTACAACCTCTGTTCTCCACAGCCCTGCAGATCAAAAGGGAAGAGCTGCTAGGAGTGCCTGGGGGGAGGCCTCTCTATTGCTGCTTAAAGCAGCATCTGATGGATGACTTTTTGCACAGAACACAGCAGCACTCAGTCACAGTAGTACTGTGTAGCAACAAACTGGCTGCCTGGGGAAATGAAGGTACCCAGCTACAGGCACCTAGAGCCTGTAATAAAGTCTATATTTACAATATAGAATCCCCTGAGGTGATTATGGGAAGTTAAAACTCAGGATGGAAAGAAATTTTAGTTTGCAGCAATACAGTTAAGGTTTTGAATGCACAATCTCTCAGGCCAAGCTAAAAACATGCAAGTTGTTATTAAATGCTCAAGTTGCTTGCAAGGTTTTCCATAAGCATGTAATTCATACTTGCATAATGAAATGGAAGGTGTCCACGTAGCAAAGCTGAAGAGGGTACCTCAAGTTATACCTGAAAAATCAATAGCCACGGCAACTCCCAGTATGAAAACGTCCTCAGCAGATGGCCGTGGCATTTAGCCTCCACGGATCAGGAGTTATAATGATCTCTGGTGTTTCACAACAGGCTGCTGTTGTGGGGAGAGCTGTGCTGTATCTTTTGTACAGCTCGAGTGGCAGACAGAGGCATTCTCATTCAGCTTTCCAAGTACAGGTAGTTACTTCACACTGGTTTCTGCATGTTTCTACATACAGCTAGTCAAAAAATGTATTTCATGGCCTTAGGAAACTAAAGCAACTTATACTTTCACCCTCAAAAGTGTTTCTCTAAAGATGTTAACTCAAATGGGAATTCTCACATAGGCACATCCGGATTTTGACCATTCCTTTGTATCGAAATGTCTTTCACCAAAAGAAGAGACACTGGATTCAGCAAGTATGCCAAATGGACTTTGCTTTTCAAACATGCGTCAATAGGCAAACACACATCTGTCACAACTGTTCAGAGATAATGGATTACCATGCGCCTACTTCAAAGGCTTAACTGAGAGAGATGCAGAGGTGAAGCTCCTGTGTGCTTCCGCTGAATCAGAAAGTCAGCTGAGTGAGTCACTGAAGTCAGTGGAGTCACTGAAGTCATGCTTCATGCACTGAGCTGCTTGTGCTTTTACCGCATTTACAAAGCATACGTAACCTACACCCAGAGACTTGCACTGCCTGTGGAAATGTCACTGCACCTCCCAGGATGCCAAGTGTCTGTGAGCTGTGTCTCTTGAAAGACAGACCTCTGAGTGGGAACTGGCTAGGTAGGCAGACTTCATTTCCCCAAGAGAAAGGATTCTTCTTTTTGCAGAAAGGAAATAAACCAGTTAATGCACAAAACTGAAAGCACAGTTCACTTTGACAGAAGCATCCCTACTTGCACAGTCAAGTTTACTACAGCCTACAATACTGTGCAGCCCTGTTGAGTTGCTCATTATTAAAGCACACGGGGCTGTTGTGACCATGTTACATGTACCCAGGAGCAGCGGGAAGTTACACTGCCTGTATGAGTCACATTTTGCTTTGGAGCTTTACACCAACAGTAAAGATCAAAGGGGCCTGTCCTCTTCCTCAGCACAAGAAATGGTGGTCCGTATCACCCAGCAAGGCAAAAACTTGCACTGGGGACTGACTCTCCAAGACCTTTTGTTAGTTCGAAGTTAGCTACAAAGGTTCACACTGGCACAACACTTGAGTGTTTGAAAAAGATCAAAGTAAAAAGCCAACCACAGATTCATGTAAATGGTTTTTAGATGCAAGATTCAACTACAGTTTTTAAAACTCCAGCCTTTTTTCTTCTCCCAGTAAGTACAGACACAAATCATTGTATGTAAAGCACACAGGGCCCTTAAATTTTTATTTAAATACAACTCGAATCATTTGAAAGTTACACACACTAACATCATAGAATCATAAAATAGGGTTGGAAAGGACCTTAAGATCATCTAGTTCCAACCCCCCTGCCATGGGCAGGGACACCTCACACTAAACCATATCACCCAAGAGTCTGTCCAAACTGGCCTTGAACACTGCCAGGGATGGAGCATTCACAACCTCCCTGGGCAACCCATTCCAGTGCCTCACCACCCTAACAGGAAAGAATTTCCTTCTTATATCCAACCTAAACTTCCCCTGTTTAAGTTTGAACCTGTTACCCCTTGTGCTATCACTACAGTCCCTGATGAAGAGTCCCTAGCCAGCATCCTTACAGGCCCCCTTCACATACTGGAAGCTGCTATGAGGTCTCCACGCAGCCTTCTCTTCTCCAGGCTGAACAGCCCCAACTTCCTCAGCCTGTCTTCACACGGGAGGTGCTCCAATCCCCTAATCATCCTCATGGCCCTCCTCTGGACTTGTTCCAACAGTTCCATGTCCTTTTTATGTTGAGGACACCGGAACTGCACACAATACTCCAGGTGAGGTCTCACGAGAGCAGACTAGAGGGGCGGGATCACCTCCTTCGACCTGCTGGTCATGCTCCTTTTGATGCAGCCCAGGATACGGTTGGCTTTCTGGGCTGTGAGCGCACACTGAAGCCGGCCCATGTTCATTTTCTCATCAACCAACACCCCCAAGTCCTTCTCCACAGGGCTGCTCTGAATCTCTTCTCTGCCCAGCCTGTAGCTGTGCCTGGGATTGCTCTGACCCAGGTGTAGGACCTTGCACTTGGCATGGTTAAACTTCATAAGGCTGGCTCAGCCCACCTCACAAGTGTGTCAAGGTCCCTCTGGATGGCATTCCTTCCCTCCAGGGTATCAACCGAACCACACAGCTTGGTGTCATCGGCAAACTTGCTGAGGGCGCACTCAATCCCACTGTCCATGTCAGTGACAAGGATGTTGAACAGGACCGGTCCCAACACCGATCCCTGAGGGACACCACTCGTTACTGGTCTGCAGCTGGACATTGAGCCATTGACCACAACTCTTTGTGTGCAGCCATCCAGCCAGTTCTTTATCCACCGAGTGGTCCATCCATCAAATTGATGTCTCTCCAATTTAGAGACAAGGATGTCATGTGGGACAGTGTCAAACACTCTGCACAAGTTGGACAGTAGATGACATCAACTGCTCTACCCCTGTCCATCAGTTCTGTAGCCCCATCATAGAAGGCCACCAAATTGGTCAGGCAGGATTTCCCCTCAGTGAAGCCATGCTGGCTGTCACCAAGCACCTTGTTGATTTTCATGTGCCTTAGCATGCCTTCCAGGAGAATCTGCTCCAGGATTTTGCCAGGCACAGAGGTGAGACTGACTGGTCTGTAATTCCCTGGGTCATCCATTTTCCCCTTCTTGAAAATGGGGGTTATATTCCCCTTTCTCCAGTCATCGGGAACTTCATCTGACTGCCATCAATGGCCAGTGGCTTAGTAACTTCATTTGCCAGCTCCTTCAGGACCCGCAGATGGATCTCATCAGGTCCCATGGACTTGTGCATGTTCAGGTTAAGATGGTCTCATACAAGATCCTCTCCTACAGTGGGCAGAGGGTCTTTATTCTCAGTCCCTGCGTCTGCCTTCCAAGAGTTGGGTGGTGTGGTCAGAGCCTTTGCCAGTGAAGACTGAGGCAAAGAACCTCAGCCTTCTGCAAATCCAGGGTAGCCAGTTCTCCCCATAGCTTCCGGAGAGGGCCCACGTTGTCCCTAGTCTGTCTTTTATTTGCAAATAAATATTTATTTAATAATAAAATAAATATAATAATATATAATATACATTGTGTATAGAATTTATATTATTTTACCATATTTATTTTTATATCATATATAAAAATAAATATAATAATAAAGATATTGTAGGACATGGGATTATGTATTACAAGAGATTTATTAAAAGAAAATAATAATTGCTGATGGTCTTGCTTAAAAAGATGTAAATATCAAACACAGAAAGTATTATTAAAAAAAATATACTTTCTCATTTTTCACCATGAAGTAGTAAGCCTGCTTGTAAGTTCTGATCAGCCACTAACCACATTTAACAAGCAGCCAAAAGACAGATACCCAGCTGCTATCATAGAAATTGAACTGTGAATGGGCAGCTGGCTGCAATGCTGGATTTCACTCACAGGACTCATTCTGAAAGACACATTAAATCAATATCAAATTTGG